CTCGTCGATAATCCTGATGACACATTTGCAAAAGTTATTCCTTGCTGTACCAGCTTGGTCCTTCTCTCGGCGAGGATTTGAACACTCCTTTTGGGAACGAATTGGCAGACGGAGGCATCAGCAGGGTGATCACCCCCACAATTTGCACATTGCGAGCTCTCCTCCAATTTACGCGGGGAAAGTTGAGTCATTGAGCCTCGACTGAAATATCACGACCAAATAGTTTTTTAAGATGAAATACTTCATGAGTTTCATTATTTGTTGCCCATTTTCAGCGTAACAACGTGAACTGGAGGAAAACCGGTGTGCGTTATTTCATTTTTAAGCGCGACATCATTTACATGGTTGGCGTACAATTGCCCTGTAAGCATCAACCTGAGTAGGGAATATTCTGATCCTGGCAGGGGTATTACGTATCTTGAGAAATGACATTATGTCGGTTTTTTTTTACATTAAATAGGTTTTTTGTGAAATTTTATAGATTTTTCTACGAGATTTCAACTTAGTGCTAGTGTTGTACACTTGCTGTTACATGACATCAGAGTCAAACTATACGTATATTCTTTAATTCACCGGTTGAGCCACCGGTACAACCGGTTAGCCAATTTTGCGTCCTTTAATTCCCGCTGGAACGACCGGTTGTACATCAAACTTGTCTTTATATTGATGGTGGATTTGGCACCGGTGCCGACAGCATCCACCGACGTACGGGCTCGGTTTATCCACGATATTCTAACCTCTACATTTTAGCATTTTTTGACAACTACAGTTTTGTGTGAAAAGAAAAGATTGAAGTTATGCTACAGCATAGGAGTGGCTTGAAATTTAATGTTATTTTAACACAAAACAGAGCGTCTGAAGACAAGTGATTTTATTTTGAATTATACACATCTGAAAATTTGCTCTTTCTCTCCACTATATAAATTCTTCATCCGAATCACCACTCGAATCGCTTAACAAACGTTCCACCACAATATCAACTGCTGCGTACATTGCCATAATGATTTTAAATGATACGGAGTTCAAATTAACAAGTATCCATTCCTTATAAAACAAAGGTTAGGTTTCCTCATAGTACGGTGCACTTAGACCTAAACCTCAACATCCAAAGTAAAAGTTTCCCCCCAGTTCCAAATTGTTCTATACGGTCCACATATTGCTCGGTAAAAAGTTACACCACTTGGAGCGTCGGCTTTGGGGGGGAGGGGGGTAGAAGTTGGTAAATAAGTGATTTTTATCAGTTTTTCTTGAATATTTCGAAAACTATGCGGTTTAGCTCAAAAAGTGGTATATACAAAAATAATCCACGTTAAATTGCGAACAAAAATGATAATTTGCATAATCTTGCTAAAGTGAACGGTTCCAGAGTTATGAAAGATGAGAAAGTAGATATTTCACGTACCTAGATTTTTTGGAAAAAATTGACACTAAGGAAACCAATTTTTTTATGCAAGATTGGGTTTTGTAAAAGCGAATGGTGATTTTAGTGGCCGGTTGTATGTTAGTGATAAACCCTTGAAGGAAAGACAACCTCACCACTTTCTCAAGGGGCGCTACTTTTTAAGGGAAAAGAGGCTTCCATAGGCCTAGGCCATATAAACCTGTGGTGCGGAGAAACCCACTCTGAACTTTCTCTGGACAATGCCGCATTAACAATGATATTTGTGTAATAATTCTGATATATAATTACATCTTTTAAAATCATATTTTTTTCTTAAACTGCAGCTTGTGGATGTTTTTCTGAAAGTAGACATATGAGTAGACATATTTGATTGTATATTGCAACTATATTTCTATATATTTATTATAAATACGACCTTAAATTAATGTAAAGTATTCAGTCCTCGTCAAACATAGCACCTTCTTCCTCTTCTATATCTTCTTCTATGCTCGTGTCTCTGTTATTACATCCTAGGCCTAAGCAATGCTTGAGCAGTTTAGACTACTCTTTCTGCATTCGCAGTTACGGACGCATTCATCTTTGCAAGCGCACACTATGAAAGAAAGTAACTCCTGGGGAGCTGCAGAACGTGCTGTTGTAATTGGTGTCAGGTGTTCGCCAATCTTTTTCCACCCCCACTCGAGCGGATTCTTGTTCTCATTCCGCCACTGCTGCACTTGGTGGTAGGTTCTAAATGCGTGCTGCCTGGAAGCTGCTGAAGTGGGCGGAAGTGCAGCCAACTTGAACGACGAATGTATGGGCTGCTTTCCAATAGCCTGCAAGTAACACTGGTAGCGAAAAGAGTCTAGATTTTCAGTGTTCTTGGCTAAAAACATCGCAAGAAGGAAATGCTTTCCAGCGTCAGCCACTGCATTGGGGTCAACTTTGGGGTCGTTGAAGACTAGAAGTTTTGTACGAAGAACGTTGTCGGCTTGCACTTTTTTATACGGGATAATTTTTCCCTTCTTGTAGATAGCTGATACCGTGTCACATCCTGTGAAGGCGTATATTGCTGAAAGTACATCTTTCATATCCCCAATACCTCGCTAAATGTCAGAAATAGTGTACACTTTTTCCTGTTGATTGCCTTTTTTTGGTACCACCATTTTCAATTTGTTCTCTGAGGGTGCGTGGACAGTCAACAAGACTAGTAAGTCCGTATCATCACCAATAACAGAAGCATTAACTCCCTTCTTAGCTTCATCAATCGCTGTTAAAACTATTAATAAGTCAGCGTCCTCCAATGCTTGACGAACTGTGCAACCAACTCTTTGCAAGTGCACTGTAAGTAGAGAAATAAATCCTATTTTGTTCTTAGCGTTAGCTAGAAATTCACTTTGATTGATATTTGCATGGATTGAGTCTTCCACATTTACTTCGATCACACCTTTATCATATTATAAGATTTAAACTGCTTCAAAATTATATTTAAAATAATGTTTGTTTTTTCCGTTTTTTTTTTCGTTCGTTCGTCGTTGTCAAACGATATAACCTCTTTTAAAAGTCTTTTTCAAACCTTAGTATTGTGTCTTATTATTTTATTTAACTTCTCTGTATTTTACGTCTAACACCGCCGTAGTTAAAAAAACGGCAAGTTTTGATTATCGGTACGGCTCCTATTTTGTACCGGTTGGCGACACTGCAGACGCGCTTTTATTAAACCGGTTCTTGCTCCTAGTTCTTTTATGCTTTATACTTCTTTTGGCCTATAAAACGATTGAACATTACTTTTTAATAAAATTGTTTCTGTTTAAATAGTAGTTATAATTTAATTTTTCCAAAAAGTCTAAAAGTTACGAAAAATGTCTAATTTTACACCTTCCGTAACTCCGGAACCATTCTCTTTAGCAAAATTACACGTAGGACCATTTTTGTTCGCAATTTAATGTAGATTATTTTTGTATATAATACTTTTTGCACAAAACCTCATATTTTTCGAAATATTTAGGAAAAACTGGTAAAAAGTACTCATTTGCAAACTTCTACCCTCCACCCCCTTCCCCCTCCCCCCCGAAACCCGACGCTCAAAATGGTGTAACTTTTAACCAAACAATATGTGGACTGTATAGAACAATTTGGAGTTGGAGGGAAACTTTTACTTTGGATGTTGACATTACACCGTTTTTTGGACTACATGCATGGTACTATCATATGACACCTACCTGAAGGCTAAAAATGCGTCTTTTTATTAACCATTAACCGCCATTCAACGGAACCGGTTGCTGACGTCATCACATCAGCTGTCAACCATAACTTCACTAATAAGGTATATTCTTTAATCCACCGGTTGAGCTACCGGTGCAACTGGTTAGCGAATTTTGGGTCCTTTAATTTCCGCTGGAACGACCGGTTGCATATCAAACTTGTTTTTATATTGATGGTGGATATGCCACCGGTGCGAACAGCTTCCACCGACGTTTGGGCTCGGTTGATCCACGATATTCTAACCTCTACATTTTATCAGTTTTTGTCAACTACAGTTTTGTGTGAAAAAGATGGAAGCAGAAAAGATTGAAGTTTTTCTACAGCATAGGAGTGTTTTTTTTTTCAACACAATTCGAAATAAACAGAGCATCTGAAAGCAAGTAAATTTGTTTTGAATTATGTATATCGACGATCTCAAATCAATACCTCGAAGTCCGAAAATGTCGATTTTCTGATTTTGTTCCTGTATGCATACAAGAATGCTCTCAGAAAATCCATATCGATGGTTCTTATTCGGAAAGCATCGACGATCTCAAATCAATGCCTCGTATTGATTTGAGATCGTCGATATCTGAAAATTTCTTGGTTTTCTGATTTATAGTTCTTATATTGATTTTCGGAGCGCAAATTCTCTCCGCTGGATAACTTCTTCATCCGAATCATTACTCGAATCGCTTAACAAACGTTCGACGATAATACCAACTGCTGCGTACATTGGCATAATGTTTTAAATGATACGGTGTTCAAATTTACAAGTATCCATTTACGATAAAACAAAGGTTAGGTTTTCTGATATGACAGCAACCTGAAGGCTAAAATGCGTCTTTTTATTAACAACCAATCAACGGAACCGGTTGCTGACCTCATCACATCAGCTGTCAACCATAAGCTCACCGGATCCATCAGTAATGGAAGCAACCGGTGAATTAAAGAATACACCTATAGTGATGGAATCAACCGGTGAATTAAAGAATATACCTATTGATAGCTGAAGCATCATGACGTTTAGGCAACACGTACATCTACGGAACGGGTACACAACAAATATACAACAGCCAGAACTAATTTGACATCTTGTGAAAAACCTACAAAATGTCTCAAGAAACCTACATAATGTAAAAAAACGACATATCACTTTTCAAGATACGTTATATCACTGCAGGTCAATGTTGATAGTACGATAGTACTTCATACTTTTATTTACGAACATTTTTGAGATATTCTCCCATTTCTGGGGCTCCCTCAACACAATCAGAATTGGTATGTACAATCGATGTTGAAGGATCCACAGAGATGCGGTGTGCACGTTCGTGCCCTCTTTCTGACGTATTTGTAGCAGCTGTGGGTGCATTACCTGATCGCGTGGAATTTCAGATTTATTAACTTTTCCCTTCCATTCGGATACCGAGTCCAGGGAGCTCGACACCATTATGTCCTCCCCCACGTCTGAAGAAGACGCAAACGAGGACATAGCCGTCGGCCTCTTTTCCTGTTTTTATTTTCAATTCGTTCTGTCAGTTTCTGTATTTCAGTTGTCAGCTTCTCGATTGTCTCAGCTAAAAATCTGTGGCCTTGAGCATTCCTGCAGCAGCCTCGAATGCTTCGTCAGCTCCCTACATATGTCTTGGAAGGTGACTCTGGTCTCTTTCTCTTCTCAATGACATTTCTGGAAACATCCCCGAGGCCTCCATGGTAATGAAACGTGCTAGACGCTGTCCGTCTATTCACATATATTTCTACTCTGCTACTTGCCTCTTTAGTCCCTGGATTTTATTTAAAATTCAAATTTATTTCCACAGACAATAGACAATGACAAGGAAAGGTCCCATCATCATTGTTCTTATTCCACAGCTTCACCAGTAGGTGGCAGCACCAAACAGCAAAGCCGAACACTAACTTATCGACATGTTCTTTATCTTTTCCTTTAATGAAGATGGACACTCTATAGAAGTATAGTAGATAACTTGAATTCTTACTTTTCGTCGATAGATAGCAGCACCACGTAATAAAGATATGTAGATAATAGATGTAAGCATTAAAATATTGACCACCATCTCTACCATGACATCTACATTGTCAAATATCTACAATTACATGAGTCGAGTTGGTTTTGACTTTTGACAGTTCATTAAAAACAAGAGCAAGAGCATTCAACCCATTCAACTTTCAAATAAGCTCGCCGCGCTCATGGCTTTTTTAACGGAAAATCGGCAAAAATTGATACGAAAATAAAGGTAGAGTATATTCAAATCTATTTAATGCAGAATACTCCAAACTCTACTTTTTTCTAGAATACAACTATCTATGCATTTAGGAAACTAAGGAGAAAACCGAAGGACAATTTCCGATCGAGGTAGGTTAGAATAATGGACCGAAGCCCTGCCACGGTCACCTACAAGGACCTACTACTCGGGAAACTTTCGTACTCCGTCATCTGTAGTGTATTATCACAACTAGTCCTCCTACAAGTATATATATTCTTTACAAACACAAATATCTTCCATCCTCAACAGTGGATTCGATCAACATTTGCAGTCTTTGCTTCAGTCAGTACATGGCTCTATGTTATACCATTTGTCTCAATAATATTTGCACAATCCATAATTTGTGCTAAGGACTATGTGTTAAAGCAAGAATATTGTTCAACAAGATTCCAGAGCTTTTTGTCGGTTTTATCAATCAGGAATTTTGTTCTTTTGATATTAAATGTTGTTATAGGGGCAACTTTAGTATGGCTTTTTTCATCTTTAGGGGGAGGGCATTACCAGAGTTTAACAAGAAACTGTAACAAGCTTCATTATTGTTTGAATGAAGGTTCATTTATGCTTATTATCAGTGGCATATGGAGTGGACTTTATTACTTTACAAAAATTTATGTATCTAAAAAACATCTATCTTTTCCTGTGATACATCAAAGAAAGTTACTACAGTTTAAAGCTCAACTGGTACCTTTACTAAAGGAAAGTATTATATCTTCATTTTGGCCAACATTTTACTTTGTTATAATATACATGTTTTGGGGAGAGTCTCTTGCAGATAGCTTCAGAAACATGTTTAGTCTGCTCAAAGAAAAAGACTGTTACATTGGAATACAAGCGTATTTTTGCATGTGGATTTTTGCAGCACTATATAACTTCAACATGAATCTAATGCAATTCTTTTTTAATTTATTCCTAACAGAACCTGTCGAGTTTCCAATGCAACATGTACCAAATTCACTCTGTCTTCAAGAATGCCTAAATGTGTCAGAATGGCCCATAATTCAAAACTTAGCTTGTTATGATTTGAACAATTTGGCATTGAATTCAAAATCTCGCAGACAAGTGTTTTTTACACTATCTCAACCAGGAGGTCATCCTCACAACTGGAATCATTTAGTAGAAAATGTTCTGAAACTCTTCCAAGAATATACTAATCAAATAGATAAATCTGCAGTTGTAACAGAAAATATGCCAAAAGCTGCTTTACAACCTCAAAATTTGTTCCAACACAACTATCCAGCAATAAAAAGTGCTATAAAATCTCCAGAGAGGTATCAGAACTTCCGTAACATGTCTTTGATGTACAACACAGGTTTAGATGAAGAAATAACAGTTGAGATAACTCGCGTTCCAATAAATTGGAATCTGATACAGAACCTAATAGACAAAATTAAGCAAAAAGTTAACAGTGCCATCTCTGTTATCAAAATACTCTTAGGTATAAATTTTTTATTTGGAGAGTTACCACAAGCAAACATCCAAACATGCTTAGCAAATGGGTATGTAATAATTTGGGCCAGTCAAGGAATCTCAGATATAGTTTGTGCATCTCTTGTAGAAGACCAGTATGGAATCGTACAAAAAGATTTGCCAGCTATTATCAATACATTGGTGCAGTTGAAACATGCTTTAGATAAGTTAAATAAAATTCCTGCTTTAACTAGAAAAATGGCAGGATACAATGACTTTAACTTCAAAATGAAGAATGCTGTCAACTATGCTGTAAGAAGGAGTTTGTTCAATATATGTAAGACATTTGGAAAATATTTGAATGATTTACCATTGAGTAAAGACACTGTCTTCTATCTGCAGACTTTGTACAGGGTTTAGGCATTGGTTTAGGATAGTATCGGTATGTAATTTATTAAACGTGTTTTTCACAATGTTTCCTATTGATATAAAAATAAAGTTTGATTTTTAAAGTAACAGTTGTATTTTCTTCTTTTGAATTTGTAAGTATGGGTAGATATCACAAAGTGAAACATTGAATGCAGGAGAATTTCAAGCCAAGCTGGCATGGTGCGCCTCCGCCAAAAAGTCCAAGGCAAGAAATGGTTACAAGATGCCAATATTTATTTCAAAAATTTTCAGAATACTCAAATGTTACAAAACAGATTTGTCCGAGACCTATTATTTAACGGCCAAACGATTGTCTGGACTCCTATCAGCATGAAAACCACAGTTTCAGGTGTTATATTGAAAAGAAAAACGATATGAAAGTAATTAACTAATTATTGTACATGATTTTCTTCACATGTTCGTTGCTTTTTCGGTAATAATCTGCACCATAAATCTACCATCCTAAAGACGGTGATACACATCGCATTTTTATACAATATTGCACAACGTGCTATTATAGTTGCGACTCTAAACCCAAACTTTTCGACTACACCAAAGATTGGGTCAATGCCTCCCACGCATTGATACAAATCTTATATCTGCATACGTGTATATTGTAAGTTTCACTGGTGTTAGGTGAAACATAAGAAATAAGTGATCACAAATCTTTTAAAATTCTTTTACAACAAAACTGGGAACATCATGAAATGAGTATGTTTTTTATCTTCATCCTTCCACATTCAGTATTCTACTTGAATTGTAACGATTTTTGTTATATATGGTGTTTCCAAAGTTGAGTAATTTTACCTGTTTGTCAAAAGGGGTTGATATACCAAAAATCGCCTATATAAAAGTTGCATAATAAAAGAAATAATAAAAGATCAAAAAATAATGTTATAACACAGATTTTTTTGATATCCTCGACCACTGCCGTTTAAAATCTTAGCGTTTTTTGTTTGCTACTCTTTATTCGTTTATCTACATTTGGCAAACTTTTCGTGTTATTGTATGGTTTTCAGTGCGAGTCTTTGGTTCGATCAATTGTATCAGTCTTTTAATAGTGCGTATACTTTCATTTATTTGATTAGTTTTTGCGAAAAAATGGCCCATACAACAAAATGCAGCCGCAGCATACAGGATGTATGCGGAAAGGTTTCATTTAAGAAATCATCCGGCCCACGGATCTTTGTAAATCTAGTTATTAGACTGCGTGACACAGGATATTTAAAAGTACAATGAGGAGGTCACGCTGGAAGACCTGCTCAACCTGAAATGTTACAAATTGAGGAAGTCATTTTAGAAATAGCCGAAGACGAGCCTACTAGAGCCATAGCAGCTCATGTTGAAGTTTCTCATAGTAAAGTGTGGAAGACAATTCGACAAGAATAGTATTATCATTATCAACTGGTACAAGCGTTACAACCTGAAGATCATCCTAGAAGAGTTGCATTTTGCCAATGACTTTTAGAACAGTTCTGCAAAAATGAAGATTTTACGAAATAAATTTTGTGTACAGACGATGTTATATTTACACGAAATGGAGAGCATAATTTCCACAACAATCATGTTCGGGCAGTATAAAATCCGCATGCTGTAAAAAGAACTCATTTTCAACCTAGATTTTCATAAAATGTTTGGGCTAGCGTAGTAAATGGCGTGCTTATGTGACCCTACTTTTTTCGCCTCGACTGACCGGTGACATTTATTTAGATTTTCTTCGACACAATCTGCCACAACTATTAGAAGATGTTCCTTTAAATGTGAGACAGAATATGTGGTTCCTGCGTGATATGTACAGCCGTGTATTCCTGTACTTATTTTGTACAAATAAGCATTATCAAAATAATTACGATCTAGTGGATATAGTTTTTTCCAAGGATTTCCAATATTTTTACATGCGATCAACACCGGTTCGAAAACTGAGAAAACAACAACTATGCCGTTAATCTAAGCTCGACAATAAAAGTCTGAAAAATAACTGTAGTATCAATGCTTGTTCCGGAAGTTGTTGTATCCAGCATACAACTTCTTCCAGTTCAAGTGATTGTACACGCGTTAAGGAATCAGAACCGATTGCCGGGTGGCGGTACAAGTCCGCCAACGCGCCACTTTAGGTCTATTTAATATCATTAACACGCAAAAAGAAGGTGGTAGACAAGGACCAGTCGACCGAAGCGGTACCACCCGCTATCTTTTCCCAAGGTGTCTTATAAATGTCCGCATGTTTCCAGACCTAAGCTATGCAGTCGGTTATCTTTAAAAACCAAGAAATTAATGATGCTGGATCCTCGAGTACTAAGAATTCCGGACGTAAACTCACTCCACTCTCGGAATGTCTGGATGGAGGGTGGACTCGAGGGAACAACATCGAAGATAAAATTTGTTTCACGAACATCTGCGGGATTAACAGCAACATTGATGCTGTTCATCACTACTTGCAGTCCAATCGTCCTGCCGTGCTTTTCTTGGCGGAACAAAAATTTCAGTGTCCGCATCGATTAACCAACTTAGCTTCCCAAATTTCTAGGTGCACTCCAACCTGAGAAAGAACGGGGGAGTTGTGGCAGACCGGAAGGACATTCTGTGGCTTCGCCTCCAAATCATCCCGCAAATTTATTTGATGCCTTTATCGCGCTCCCTCGGACAATAACTGGGATGACCTTCTTGAATACCTCGCTGTCAAGAGCGACTTCCTGAACATCAATCACTCCGCTTCAGAGGTGGTTCTCCTCGGTGATTTCAATGACCATAATTTGCTTTGGTTGGGCACAAACAAGACTGATGCAGCAGGTCCTGCAGTTGCTCTTACTCAAGGGCTGACCCAGCTGGTGACATGCCCTACTTTTCTCCCTCGCGTCTCGTCACATGCCAGTAGCCTGCTGGATCTCTTTCTGACGACGCATCCTGTCCCTTATAGCACTGCTGTCCTGTCCCCCCTGGGTAACTCAGACCACTGTGTTGTGGTGGTTAGGTTTTGGTCAGAACCCGCTGTGGCAGCAGAAACTGGCACAGGTCGCAAAATTTGGCATTACGGACATGCCGACTGGGAGGGGCTCAGAGACTTCTTCTATACCTTTCCTTGGGGAAGTGACTGCTTTACCGACGCGGATGCGTCGGCTGTCTTTTCTTCGATAACCGAAATTATCCACGTCGGAATGGAATCCCTCATACAGTGAAAAGTGCCTAAACCAGGGTCCAACGGCTGGTTTAACAAATCGTGTGACACTACTCGCCAGCAGAAAATCAAGACATACAGAACCTTCTCTCAAAACCCCACTGTAGAGAACACACAAGCCGACGTCGAGTTCAGAAACAAATATAATGAAGCGGTTTGCAATGCCAAAAACCAGCACAATATAATAGTTAGGCACACGGTAATGTCACAGCGCAATGGCAGTCGGTCTTTCTGGACGCTGGCCAAGCAGATTGAAAAGAATTTTTTACACAGTAGCCTTCCACCACTTACGTGTCAGGAGGGAGCGATTGTATCGGAGTCAAAGGCCAAGGCGGAAGTGCTTGCCAAGATCTTTGCTGCCAACTCCACCATGGTAGGCCCTTCTAGCAGTGAGCTGGAAAAAAGAAGACTAGCGACGGCTTCCTTTCTGACGAGAGACCTGGAGGTTATCACTGCTTGGGGACGCAACAATCTTGTACAGTCCAATGATTCCAAAACACAGTACTATACTTTGACGAACAAAAAGCGTCCTAGCGCTCAAACAGTTTCGATGGACGGCCGAGTTCTGCAAAAGAGCCATATATTTCGACAGGTCGGAGTCCAGATCACCGAGAACCTGATCTGGCACTAACACATCCCGTCAACAGCGGCAGCTACTGGGAAAAAGCTAGGCTATTTTTTTAGGGCTAAGAAGTACTTTTCTCCGCATGAACTTCTCACTCTATACAAGGCCCAGATAAGGCTTAGCCTCGAGTATTGCTCACACGTTTGGGGTGCTGCCGCTCCGACTAGATCATTTATGCTCGATGGTGACTAGAGGAGGGCTGTCCGACTGATCGATGAATCTTCTCTAACAGACAGCCTCGGAACCCTTTCGCACCGGCGATCTAGCCCTCTTCTCCCGCTACACCAACGGGCTTTGCTCCTCAGAGCTCTCTTCCATGGTGCCGCAGCTCGATGTGCCTGCCAGACAGACCCGCCTGACTTTGACCTCCCATCGTAACCGTGTCGAACTTCGTACATACAGAACTGGCCGATACGACCGCTCCTTTATCCAGAGGGTGTCGAGATTGTGGAAAAATCCACAAGAGGGAGCTTTTCCCAGATCTATTAACCCCGGGTTAACAAAATTCTTTGGGACCATCATAGCGGCCGTGGTGTTCCGACATTTAGGCATCTGCCTGCGCGGCTGCTACGGTATAAAAAATAATAATAATTGGCTACATCTATTGATATTTTTATCACCTGAATAGAAGTGCTTAATTGTGTCAGTATTTGTACCATTTACTTGATTTGTTTAATGGGGAGTTCAGAGTCTTAATCCTTAAGCTTAGTACATACTAGTAGACCCCGTTGCGCAATTTGTCTATAGTCAGTCTGGAGTCGGTCTCAACACACGATCTATAGATGGTCTATAGACATCCTTCTTTCTCTTGTCTAGCGTCCATACGATAATGTGAATTTTTTTGTTTCATGTTGGTTTTCGCACTCAGACATTGTTTTGTGTGGAATGGACTGGGATATGTCTCGGGGTCCCTCAGAATGTTTTATTTATTTATTTTCGGTTAACAGAGCAATGGAGTTTTTTATGTTTGAATCTTTAATATTATTATAGTAGTTAATTATAAATGTCAAGTACTTATTTTGTTCTCATATAATAAAATATTGGCTTTCTGAGAATTTTTTTTTTCAAGCTGGCCTTGACCAGATAGAACACAATAGATTTAAGGGGCAATAATAGGATAAATTCTAGAAGTTCCACTGAGGTTAAAAAATGACCTGCCCCAACTATCGTTATCGACGAAATCCTGAATCCGCCCTTGCTATAACAATTTACGAACGCAGCCCAGCTTTAGAATAGTAGATTTGGTGGTTTCAAGGTTGAGTATGCAACCAGGCATACGTAAATGTATTTCCAAATTATTTGAAAATATTCTGCAGGTGAGTGATTAAAATTAAAAATAAAATAGGTTTAACTGCAAAGATTGTTGAAAAAATGTCTCCAAAATTCTTGTAATAGAGCATTGCTCATTGCCCACACTGTCAACACCGGCCTTACTTGACATTTTCTTGACGTTTTGGGATCGAATTCGGTCACAAAATTAGGTAAGGGGCCCTTATCTGCATTTTTTTATATAAATTCCCTAAATATTCCACCAAAATAATTGATGTAGATAATTAGGTCAAAGTTTGATAATCAAAAAATTGGTCGCACTTCTGCTTCTATCGTTTAACGTTTCAAAATGGCGTAAAAATTACAAATGATGATGTGTAACCGCGCAGTTTTCGAAAATTTCATTAAAAATTTGTACTAATATCATTATGAAAGATCTACTCCTAGCTAGTTTCTCTATATTCGCATCATTCGTACTTGTGATATTATTCATATTGCTTGGTAAAGAAAACGTGAGTTAACCTTTAAACTCCAATATAATTTTTGTCTGTTTTTAGGCTGGTTCATCGTTTGGAAGCTGATCTTGTGTCGATTCAGGTTCATCAGAGAGCTGGTAAAAGGCGCCAGCAACTCTACTATAAACGAGCTCAAATCAAGTCGAAGCAAAGTTAAAAAACTACGCAGAGATTAGCTCGAGATTCAAGATGAATATTCGTTGTGCAAAACCTGAAGATCTCATGAATATGCAGCATTGCAACCTACTGTGCCTGCCAGAAAACTACCAAATGAAATACTACTTTTATCACGGCCTCAGTTGGCCCCAACTGAGTTATGTTGCTGAAGACGAAAAGGGAAACATTGTAGGTTATGTTCTTGCAAAAATGGAAGAAGATCAGGAAGATTTAAAACACGGCCACATTACGTCCCTTGCCGTGAAACGGTCTCACCGTAGACTGGGCCTAGCTCAAAAACTGATGGATCAAGCTTCTGAGGCGATGGTGGAGTGCTTTGATGCAAAGTATGTGTCCCTACATGTAAGGAAGAGCAATCGGGCTGCCTTAAACTTATACAAAAACTCACTCAAGTTTGAGACTGTTGAGATTGAACCCAAATATTATGCTGATGGTGAGGATGCATACTCCATGAGACGGGACCTAACAGAATTTGCTAAGAAGATTAAGGGAAAACCAGAAGATAAAGACAAGAGTGAAGAAAAAGAGAAGAAACATAAAAATGAAGAATGATGTGACCTGTGCGAGTTGAACATATAAGTAATGTTATCAAAATAACTTGTCCAATATGATGACAAATGCCTTTAGGTAATTTCAATGTTGAATTTTGTTACTACTTTTTTATAATTACTTTGATTTCTTTTCCATAATTCAATGCTTTAGCATTGTTTATAAAATATAAGAAGTCTACAGAATAAGAGGTGAGAGTTTTATTGTAAAATACAATTTATTTTAACTATGTAAAGTCCATCATAAATTGGCAAGAACTGAAGTTTTTGTCACACTCAATATTGTGTTACTTCCACCAGAAAAACTGGATAAAGTAGGAAAGAATTTGCAATTTTTTCAATTTCTCAGCCATCTAAGATCTGTGGTTGCCTGAGGCACACAGTTTATATAGTTGAAGAGTGGGAGGCATGGTTTTAGAAGCATAAATTAATACTCTGCAACTGAATTCTTGGGCATACCAGCCAGTGTACCTCGTTTTACTTCAAAATCTGTACTATAGGCCTTTTTGTGGGTTTTGGATAGGCACAGGAATTACTTTCATACATCCATCTTCCTCACTACTCACACAAATCCAAATATCACTGATGAGGTGATGTGTGCTAGAGAGAAGCTTGCAATACATATGTTAGAAATAGTGCATTGACAGCAATGTGGCAAGCAGCAGCTGCATCTGTGGCCTTGTCACATGGGTTGCTAGGCAATGTGGTGCTTCTATATCTTTCTAACAAACGTTTTTTTAAACTCACAGACAGATATACTTTTTTTAGTATTGTTTGATTTACCTTTTTGGAAATTTTCTGGTCAATGTATCTGTATGAGTCCTCCACATTTATGCTTATTGCTGTATGTATGTCAATTTGCTTGTTGTGGGCATACAACTTGAGTCTACCTTTTGTGGACCTTTAATATAAAACATAGCAATGCCTGAAGATACAATAACAATGTCCATACTTGTGTATTAAATTTATTGGAGTATTTTCAGACAGTGTCTCTGTCACCCAATTTTACATGGATAGGAGGGACTAGCAGCTGCATTAGGTATTGGCTTGCACAGTGTGTAATTTGCCTTAGAGAAGTTAAGCTCAATACATAGTACATTTAGTCAGTCTGTTTAGTCATTTTATTTTGTATGAGGCTGTGCTGTAACCGCCAAAAACCGTAAATAGGATTGACAGAGAATCATTGATGTCCGTATTGAATGTGTATGTGGGAGAAACACATAATGTTGAAGTAAAAAGACAATGAGACTGTCACAAGGGATTCCTTTTTTGTCACACATCTTGCTCTAATATATGTATTCGTTTCTTCATGTTTCACACATATTAAATAATTGCGTTTCAAAACGGGCAATATTTTTCTAGTCTGGCCATAGTTTTTGACATTTCCGACCTATTTTCATGAAGTGCTGACAGAACGCCAAATTATTGGAATTTTACTTAATTTAATGTACATGAAGGTAATTTAGGCCGCTGATTTTGGGTACGACCGCTAAAAGCGCGCCCAATTAACGCAGGAAATAAGTTTTCGCCTGCAGGAATTTTTCCCAAGGATGCAGGCAACTTTTTAGCGAAGTGCGTTAGACCTTGAAAATGAAAAGCGGATAGTAGTATATTGTCTCAGTAGGTATCCACATCCTAAAAATCCCTAATACTGTACATCAACAACCTTGTTAAATATGCAAATTTCAAAAGCTGACCAGACTCTCAGGAGGTCACGGTGCCCCCTGGCCCCTCTTTATGGACACCCATGTCTAAATCATATGCTTACTGGGATTTTTTCCTCTTAACTTTCTTTCTCTCGAAGAGAGGTTTGAATATTAACGTATCTCAAACAAAAGTGATGACAGCAGAGGGGAATGGAATGAATATAGTTACCAGAGATAGTTACTAAGGGCGCACGTATAGAACAAGTCGAAGCTTTCAAATATCTAGGAGTGGTAGTACAAGGCGATGGAACAATGCAAGATGAAATCAACGAAAGATTAATGTACGCATCTAGGCTCTATCACACATTGAAAACATCTTTCTTAAGGAAGAAAATGATAAGCAGAAAAACAAAGATAACCGTGTACAGAACAGTATTCAGACCCATATTGATATTTGGAAGCGAGAGCTGGGTATTAACGAACAGGCAAAAAAGCAAGTTACAGGCTATTGATATGAAATACCTCAGGGTAGTCAAAGGAGTCACTAGGAAAGACAAAATTAGAAACGAACTTATTAGAGAAGAGCTGGGAGTGGAATCTGTACCTCAAAGGATTGAAGAAAACCAATTAAAATGGTTTGGGCATTTAGTAAGGATGAAGGATACAAGGCCAGTAAAAATCATACGAGCAAGCAAGAGTTCAACAGAAAGGGGTAAGAGGGCGACCGAAAAAGACGTGGAATGATGGATTGGCGAAAATACTCAAGAACAGGGAAATAAGTTGGAACGAAGCAGTGCGCCGGGCGAGAAATAAGAAAGACTGGGCTAAATTTGTATACAATAACTAATTAGTTTAGAGAATGAAATAATGTAATTGCACCTTACACCTACAGGTATATAAGGGTTTTAGATATATATATATATATATATATATATATATATATATATATATATATATATATATATATATACAGGGTGTTCCATAATTATTGCGACAAAATGATAGGGGTTGTAGAGGGCATCAAAATGAACAATTTTTCCTTATAAACCCCTGTTCGGAAACATGCCGTTTGGGCTGCAGCAAAAAAAAAAGATCAGTTTCTTGAAACAGCTTACCTACAGTAATTGCTCAAAGTGTCCTCCACCTTGCTCAATACACACCTGTGCACGATTGTTCAATGATCGGCGAACTCTGTGGCATACCCCCGGTATGTCCTGAACATGTGCGGACGCGGCCATCACTCTTCCCAGTAGCTCTTGTTGGTTGGGAACAGGAGTTTCGTACACTAAAGCTTTCAGATAGCTCCAGATAAAATAATCCAGTGGAGTCAGGTCAAGTGACCGCGCAGGCCAAGGCACAGGGCCACCTCGGCCTATCCACCTATTTGGAAATTTGTCGTCCAAATACTGCCGCACTTGTAAAGAAAAGTGGGCTGGACCGCCATGGTGTTGAAACCACATGTTGGCTCTTATATTCAGTGGCACATTTTCTAATAGTTCCGGTAGCACATGCTGTAAGGATCGACCATAAGCATGCCCATCCAAACGTGGTGGAAGCAGATATGGCCCGATGATATGCTCGTCCACAATGCCGCACCAGATGTTAATTGAAAACTGATGTTGGTCTCTATGGATGGCTATGGCATGAGGGTTTTCTTCATCCCAAATGTGACTGTTACGGCTATTAAAACAGGACTCGTCAGTGAACAAAACGTAGCGACCAAAGTTTGGTTGCCTCAACTCCTGCTGCAGCCACCAACGACAAAAACGTCGACGCGGCAGATAGTCTGCTGGACCCATGGCTTGGACTTTTAAAAGGTGGTACGGGTGTACGATAACAAAAATGTAAACACAGCAGGCTTTTTCTACAAACCGGCGAGACCATGAAATGTGCTAGACGAACATTTTGCAGCTGGTGAATTTTTTGTTTCTCCTATGAGCTCTTAAGGTAAAATTAACTGTAGTGCTCAAACGGCATATTTACGAACAAGGGTTTATAAGGCAAAATTGCATATTTTTATGCCCTCTACAACCCCTATCATTTTGTCGCAATAATTATGGAACACCCTATATATATATATATATATATAACTTGAGACGTGGTCATTGTCGTCTAGACCAGTTGGGTGAAAAATTAAGCTTCCCCTTTGTTGGGTACTTCGACAAAATTTAAGCAGAGGACTCTTTATACTTTTTTTATTTCTGCTAAGTTAGAAAGTTTCTAAATATTTTTAATCTGTCTTATTGTCCATATTTTATAAATTTTAACCATTGTACATGTTCCGCCTCCCATGTTACTGGACTTTCCCTCATCCATGCGAAACAACATTGCACATCTCTCACTGTAAGTGATTCAATTAATTCTTTACAATTTGTTGCTATTATCATTGTCCATTGAAAGCTAGAGAAAAATAAAAAAAGTATAAAGAGTCCTCTTTGCTTAAATTTTGTCGAAGTAAACAACAAAAGGCGGAAGCTTTAATTTTTCACCTATATATATATATATAACTTTCTTTAAAAAAATATACCTGACTTTTTAGGGCAACAATTCTATTTTCATTTTCCTATTGTGAGACGCGAATGAAACGCAGTGGGTCGTAGTCCTGACTACTCCCTAAAGGATTCAAGTTGATCGCATCTATCAAAATTTTCAATTTCAATATTAAGTTCATCTATGTTAAATTTCTTCAATACATTCGTATTGTATTGTTTGTAGTGGCTTTACAGTGCATATATAATAAGCATTCTAAATTCCTTAGGGTCGAAACCGTATAGGATCATCCCTTGCATATTTAGCTTAGTCTTCTGTACCATATTTAAAACGTTTATGATATGACCGCAAAAAACCGGGGATTGTAGATATTGGGACAATACAGTGACTGCAAATTCCTTCATATTTACTAGGTATTGACCTTCTGGCATTCTCTAGTATTTGGCGGTCGAATATTAGCAAATTTCCATCCCCGTCATATAGCCTAAAGATGGTGTGGCTTTTTACTATTCACAAGAATATGATACCATTTTGCTACTGCTGAGCTCACTTTTGCAGTGTTTTTATCAATTTTTGTTATTTACCAGCTATGGACTTACGTGAAACTTTATAATCTGATAAATGATCCAATATGACCGCATAAAATCCTGAACTATAGACCCAATTCACCAGTTCAGTAATTTTTCTTCCAGCTTACAGATACGTAGGGGGGATTTTGAAAATGTTCATACACTTTACCCAAGAAGGGATATATGTATTAAATAAGACGCATCTGTCATGCCTAGTATTAATAATTTTATTTGAATTTGAAAAATACAATTTCGGATTTATATATAATCTACAACTTAAATCTATTTCTGATGAATGTACATTTCCTCTGGTCATATATGAATCTTAAAAATAATATTTACAGTGTGTTGCCTGGGATTGAAACTCATTCGAATAAAATTACAATACTAATTTTTATGGAGTCCAATATTTGAGATTTAAACATTTATTTCTATTTCCTAGACACGAAAAAACTGCTATTTTATCCGTATAACGGAATCTAGATACCTTAATTTTATTCTAAACGCCAAATTGGTTAACTTGTGTGGAAGAATTACTGCTTGTCTATATAGGAAACAAGCATACATTATAACCAAAATTGAAACAATAGTAAACTTTATATAAACAAGCAGTTGTCAAGTTTTTCGGTCAATGAAGAAAACTGATGGAGATTATGTGAATTGTTGAGACAAATTTATTATCTGAAAAACGCTTGAAATGTATTATATGTTTTATTATTGCAAAAATTTAGTTTTAAGCAGTTTTTTTCATTTATTCCACTTGACGATGGATTTTAAAAATGTTGAGATCTCTGTTTGTCTACTCACAACATCAAAATATGGTAAATGGGGTTATAACAACTTTTGTAGATGAATAAAAATGTACAAATTCTCACATTTTAGGCGAAAGCTAAAATTGAATAGGTATGTAAAGTTTGTGAATATTGGAATTAGCTATGCATAAGACGTGGCAATAACTTTTTGAAAAATGCATGCCAATATTTCTTCAATTTTTAAGAAGATACACGATGCTGCCTTCTACTAACTAAACCTACATACATGTAGAATATTTGAAGAACAGGCTATTTCGTATGAGATCGCAATATTTTTAATAATATATAATTATTATAGTCACAATAAAATTATACAGGGTTTGCATATGTTAATTGAATATTAATTATATCTCATTATTTTGCATAATATTGCTATCTGAATTTCACATTTTTTTAACTGTATAGCCATGACACCAGGCCCTGATATATATTTTTTTATTGAAAAAAATCCAGCATGTTAAAGGATTTTAGCATCTTGAGTTTTTTATAGTAACAAGCATCAATGAGAACAGTGGTTTCATACAAAAAATATATACCGACGTTAAGCTTTTGACAAAATTTTATCCATAAACTATTTTTAATCGCCCCATATAAAATTATTGTGTGTAAAGATAAAATCAAGTCCTTAAACGTTATTATCACAATTTTCAAAGTGTCAACACAATTAAAAAAATATTGTGCCATATCATTTTCCAAATATACTTGATAGGTAGTATTGAGACATTTGACCAGATATAATTTTAATCATCCCAAATTAAGATATTTTCCAAATGCTGATTTTTTATCAGGCATATGTTCAAATTAACTCACTATGAATTTCTGTAATAAAATAAATGTTGTATAATATAAAACTTGAGTAATGTTTTAAAATATATTTATATCAACTGTATTTAATTGTGTTGCCAACTTTATATTTCCAAAAATGTAACAACCGTAGATTAAAATATCACAAGAAATAAATACGCCCAGTCTCCAACAAAAACTGGTTTCATTATTCTAAGAACTAGAATTCTATATAAACATGATATATACACGGAATCTATTTTACAAATGTAATTTTTGTATCGTATGTGTCTATCAATAGTTTTTCTGGTTCAGCTTTTTCATAGTTTTTTGTTTTGCTTTCATTTTTAGTTTCTTAAAATAATGAAAAATACGTAAATAAATTAATAACCTTCTATGCAAGTGCACATATCATAAAATGTATAACTAAATGATTAATACGCAGAATTTTCAGACATGGTTTCATACTCCAGATATGTTAAAATATGTTCTGTTGCTTTCCTTTATTCATGTCCAAAACTTCACTTTGGTTATTCCGTTGACAGCAAGCCCTGTTTCTAAACCACATTACAGTTTGTTTTTTGTACCCTGGTACCCTTTTTTGTAAAGATCCTCAGATATTTCAACTATTATGAAAAAACGATTCAACGTTTGCCAATATTTACTACACTTCGAATTCTTTAGTCTCTAGCGGCCGAATATTATCAAATTTTAATCATCTCCTTCATATAGCCTAAAGATAAGTGTGCGTTTTTGACTATTTACAAGAATATAGTACCGTTTTGCTATTACGGAGCTCACTTTTGAAGTGTTTTTGTCAAATTTTGGTATTTACCAGTTATGGACTTATTTGAGATTTTATACAACTGATCAAATATTAACCCCGAACTGTGCAAAATCTGTGCGTAAGTTATAATAAGGCAAGATAAGTCTTTGGTATTGATAAATGTTAATTCTGCACCTGGGTTCAAACTTTAATAATTACATTTTGGTACAACGTTACATAATGATTACAAAGTACAAAAAATTACGAGTAGGTATATTTTTGATTTCTTATCCGGAAACTGTCAAGAAAAAGATGCCAAATTTGGCATTTGTTTATATCCTCTGTATGATTTTCAAAGATTGTTATACCGAAACGTTCTGAAAACCGTAACCAAAAGTTAAACATCTAATTTTTGGTGTATTGATTATTATCATTGATGCGCGTCAATCTCAAATAATTTCAATAACTGTGTAGTTTTTCAAATTATCTCAAGAAATATACTTTTATGTTTTGTGCCCATAAACATAAATGTATATTAATCAGATTGAAAACATATCCTTTTCCAATAGTTGATTTTTTTGTTTAGTAATCAGCTTATAATAATTCACACACCAACATGCAATATTTTACAATTTAATATTACATTGTGCATGCATTTATGCCCGAGAAATGAAATTTGAGAGCTTTTACCTAAATCATTTACCACAATACAACACATTCTGACATATATTTCAGTGCCTCTTGTGATAATTTTGTACGGTAGGCATAAGAGTGTAAATTTAGTAGTAGATAGAGGCACTTATTCCCACCAAATATTGGTTGATAATTTATTTAATTCTTAGTCATTGGTTCGTTGTTCGTTATAACTGTATACAGGAACCTTGTTAACTAGTTTTTGCAAAACAAGTCACACAGAAGGATCGGTATCGCTATTAATTATAAATGTCACCAAATATTCAGTGGTTTGTGTTGTATGGTACGACGTTTGAAGTACCGTGGTAAATAATCTTCACTAATTTCCATAGTGGGTCAGTCGTTGACATCTGCAGCTTTTTTTTCTTATTGTTTGAATTTGTTGTAAGCCGCTTGTGCAAGATATTTCATTTCTAGGAAATTTAGGATCTTTTTGAATTAGTAAGATTGCTCAAAACATATCTCGTAGCCTCACAAAATTTTTAGGTGGCCTTTTGATGTGATATGTTCTGGATAGTTTAGTTATCCCAAAAAGGCACATAAGGAACCCACAATTAGTTTTTAGGTGTTGCGTGTGGGAAATTTTAACATCAAGAAAGTGCATAACTTGAATTTGTCTCACAATACCACGTACCATACTATATACATAATAGAAGTTTTTGTAAAAGTATGGTAATGTGAAAAATTTATTTTTGGTGGTCCAACAGTAATTTTTTGTAGTGAATGCATGTTTCACATACAAAGGTCAAAATTTAACATCATTAATGAGAGCAATTTTTATTCTTATAGATATAAATGCCAGATCTCAAAATTGATGAAAGCAATTATTGGATTATTGCTGAATGAAAATTGTACAAACAATTTCTGGGCAATTTACAAGTATTTTTGATGGCTCAAATTCACTTTTGCTTAGCATCTAACTCTTCTGAAATGTGGGTATGAATGATTATTTTTTGTGGAACATACATTTTTCGGGCATCGAAGTCAGAGTTTAAGATTGGTGAAAGCAATTTTTGCTCATTGCAATGAAAATTGCAAAATCATTTTCTGAACGATTTATTTTGGAATGTTTAAATTTTGTTTTCTTTTGCGACTAAGTGTTCAGCAAAGTAGATAATCGATTGATTTTTTGTGTAAGATCCTTTTTCAGATGTAAAAACCATAGCTCAAAATTGATGAAAGCAATTTATTTCTGAATCAAAATTGTGCAATATCTGGACAAATGATAAGTATCTTGGAATGTCCTTATTCACTTTTCTCTGACATCTAACTCTTCTGAAATATGGGTACTCGAATTATCATTTTTTGTGGAATATGCATTTTTCAGATATAGAAGTAATAATTTAACATTGAATTTTTGGTCAATGAAAATCGTAAAATTGATTGACTAACTCTCCAGAAACTTAAATGATTTTTTTGTGTGAGATGCATTTGCAAATAAGAAACCAATTGATTGCTGAATGACAATTGTACAAACAATTTCTGAACAACTTAGAAGTGTTTTAGATTGTTTATATTCACTTTTCTTGAACAACTAATTTTTCTGAAATATGGGTGCTCGAATTATTATTTTTTGTGCAATATGCATTTTTGAGATATAGAAGCCAGAATTTAACGTTGAAAAATAAAATTTTGCTAAATGACAATTGCACGATCAATTTCTAGACGATTTATTTTTGAATGTTCAAATCCAGTTTTCTTTGGCGAATAACTCTTCTAAAATATGGGTACTCGAATGATTATTACCTTTCGCGGGGGATGTATTTCTCAGATATAAAAACTTTACTTAAAATTGATGAACGTGATTAATGTTAAAAGAAAATTGTAAAACGATTTCTGGACATTATTTTAGATTTAGAATGTTCAAATTACTAATCTGTGGTGAGAAACTTTCTGAATTTAGGTATGCAGACAGTACGTGATTTTCTGAGAGCGATGTAAAATTACGCAAAAGGCACAATACGACGGAACTTGGATTAACAGAGGCCTTTTTTCTGCGACTGATATGTTTGTCTTGAAATGGGATAACTCCAAAATAACTCTAAAACCATAGGAAATACGACCTGTCCGAATATTTTCCTCGTTACTACCATACTTATTCTACCGAAAAAAGACGTTCCTTGAGGAGTCAGTACTGTTTAAGGAATTATCTCCTTGGATTTTAAAAACTAAAAATACTTCCTGAAGGAATGTTCAAGCAGGATTTACATGTGCATTTTAAACAGTGATTACGTATTCCAGCTCAAGATAGCCAACCTGATCTTATATTCCTGCATCCAGAAAATTATCCGAAATAATATGAGATACGCATACCTCACCGGCATCCATGAGAATTTGTCACAGCTGTGTATCTATAAATATACGAAATATACCTTGAAAAGGTTTGTGTCCCATAGATAATGCTTTAACCAAAGCAATATGTGAGCACAGCTACAGGTATGGGACACTCACTTTTTTATAGTAGTATATCTAGTAAATAGAGAAACAAATGTGATACAGTCTCATAGATGACGCTACGGTATCTCATATTATCTCGGATAATTTTTTGAACGCAGGAATATAGTATTAGGTTGGGCATCTTCAGATAGAATTAAACTTGGAAAATTTGCAGGATTTTCGGAATTGCCCGATTTTCTACGTTTTAAAAACTGCCAAATGTTTTAAAAATAATTGAATAACCAAAAATTTCAGCATTCCCAATATCTTCACAATTTTGATAATATTTAAATTACTCAAAACTTCCAATATTATCGAAATTTCCAAATTTTCAAAATATTGAGAATTCTTCAAAATCTTCACAGTTTTCAATACCTTAAACATTTCGAAAACTTTGATAGTTCCGAAAATTGCGTAAAATCGTGCATTTTCGAAAATTTTGCAAATTTCCCAAATTTTTAAGATCTGTGGAGGAACGTTCTTCAAGCAACATCTCAAATGTGACCCTTGTCATTGATTTAAGTATACCCTGAAGTTAGCCAGCCTAATACTATATCCCCGAGTCCAAAAAAGTGTCCAAGATGGACATCTATGTGAATTTACCACAGCTATGTTTCTCCTTTTCACAGAAATAGGAAATCTACTAAGAAAAGGTTAGAGTATCATAAATGCCGTTATAGCCAACTATATTAGTATATATAATATATTTGGCCACTGCGTCATCTATGAGACACTAACCTTATCAAATTAGATTTATAAGCAGTGCGGAAAGGAGAAACATAGCCGTGATAACTTCTCGGATATTTTTTGGACGTCTAAGATTGGCTCTCTTCAGGTAAAGTATGTTAATCAATACCAATACTTTTCAGTGATAAACGACTGAATCTGCAATGATCCTAAATTAATTCGTTAAAACCTGTGTTGGACATTGTAAATAGTGAAGACAATATTCCACCGTGAATAGGTACGTAAGTATACAGATTATCAGCGTTAGTGCTTGTTTATGAGAATATGAGAGAGGGATAGGAAACGTCTAAGTGGAAAACCGCTTTCTCCATTTGTGAGGCGCGACAAATGTTTTTGAGCAACTTCTTTCTCAATTATCAAAGCAGTCTTAAATATACGCGGGAAAATTTATACATACTTCGCCCATCAAACGTCATCTAATCATTATTAAAAAGAGTACATGGCCTTTGATGTTAAAATCCTCCTAAGGTGATGTATACAATAAATAAGAAGCGTATTGTAATAGGCAGAAATGTTTGATTTGATGACATTTTTTTTCTGAAAGATCCATGTTAACTTGAATTTGATAGGTATGATAAATTAATTTTAACGTTGGAAGATGCCAAAAGATTTCGAAAGTACGGAATATTTTGATTTCAAAATGACATCTTTTTAGATTCGTTCATGTACACGTCATCAGTGCTGTTCAAATTGTTATTTGTTTTCAATATTTCGAATCGAGGAAAGTTGTATTTGCATGAAACATACGATCGTGTTCTAATTGCTGCTATAACTAAAGTTACAAAACAGAACATGAAGTTATCTTTCGTATAGCAGTGTTTTTGAGTTGAGGTCCCCTAATGTTTGTTTTACGTGGAAAACTTTATACACATCACTATTCTGTTGGAAATTTGAGACAATTGTTGACATCACATAAAATGGCGATTTTCATTAGAACAATTTGTGGGAAAAGTTTATCTAGAACAAGCGAAATTTGGTCCCTAAGCCTTTTTATATTAAACTGTGGTGTGTTTTGCAATACACGAAGACATGCTTTGCAACATTTTAAATGTACTAGAATTTTACCGTACGCTTTTATAATAATTTTGAATGTGATTGTCCAAACTAATGAATTTTTATATTTTTATAGACACATAATTTTGTGATGTGTGCTTGAGGTATATTACGTACTTTCAAAATATAATCTGAGATAATTGAAAAAAATTAATTCAATATCATCAAGCTGACAAATGTATTTCCAGATATTATACGTGTAATCTCCAAAAGTATATAGAAAATTCATTTTCAACTTCGACTAGACACATATCATTGAACCAAAAGTAATTTATATAAATAAAAGGATGCCTGAGGAGCTGTTAGATGGACATTGGATACTGAAATCTTGTACCAGTAAGTATGATTTATCATTTTTGTATCACCTTACTAAAAAATATTTTGTACGTGCAGGTATTTTTTTTTATAAGAAAATTACATGAATCAGACACAAAATGTCTGAATTGTGTAACCTGATGATGCCAGTGTTAATTTCATAGTATTACAGAAACTATACAAATTTAAAGCTGCGTAAACGTTTCTTATTTATTGTATTTCAATGAATATTATACTCGCTTAACAACACCCAAGGCACTCGTTCTTGTGCGTTTTTGACATTATCCTAACCAAGAAACCTGTGTATCATAAGCAACAGTGTTGATTTACCGTTACCTTATGACAATTATTTTGTGCGTGATAATGTGCGATTGCCATAACGTGAATTTTGTGCTCAAACAATATTTTCTGTAATCCTCGATGAGATCTGTTGTAATAGACGCACTGTATTTCGATTTTTTGTGCGCTAATGAAGGTTGTATATAATTTTATCTCACAAGACATATCTTTGGGAATTTTGGGTCAGTTTTTCCAAATCCGCAGTGTGCGTTCGATTTTGTGCGTATTTTCATGACATCGATTTGTGCGTTAAAATTTTGAGCTTTTTGATTTTCTCCAGTTTTATATTTGCACCACAATCACTTACTAGGGTCTTTAGATTTTCGTCTGAATCTATTTAATTTTACCCATCGGCAATCAAATTCAATTATCAAATATTTGCCTCATTAATAATTTGTTCATGAATTTATTATGTTGCTTGAGACATGACGATAGTTTGTTATATGGTTGGTAAGAAACTTTATTGTAAGCAGTAGATACGGTACTTGACGTGGTGCATTTTTCTAATAATTTTAAATGTTGTTACATAATTTTTGTGCGTATACTTGTTTTCTAAATTACTTTATGCCCTAATCCGTAAAATCTACCTTATTTTCTTATCTACCAAATACTGTGCGCTACTTGTCACTTGTGTTTTCGCGCTTTTATTGCCCGAACAGTTAATATTTCCAAAATCCGGTAGTTGAGTTTAAGTTACTTGAAATTTGAGATGCACACTATAGCTTAAGATTCCAAATGGGGTTAATTCTGAATAATGTTCATCTTTTCCAAATCTGGTATTTGAGTTTGATACTTGGTATGTTTTTGAGAGAGGCAGACTTGAATTTATGTTTTAGTAATATTGAGTATGACAGATCTCTATAGGTTGATTAATTTTTTTGATACGAATTCTTTATTTTTGTCTCTGATTTTGTTTTGGTATAATTTAAGCGGCGGTCTCATTTTTTTCATGTTGGGACAATTTTTTAATTTTTTTCTGTGGTGTTGTACATTCTAAATGTATATTTTCTCATCGACTTATATGTTCAAAATTTGCAATGAATCAAATTCAGCTTCAATTTTGTTCCAACTATTACACAGCCTTCTTAATAATTTTACACGTATATGTCGCATTGTGCGCCTTAATGTTGTGCTTTTTTGTGACGTTCCTTAAATTTTCGATTCCAACACTATCACTATACGAATACACTTAGCTTATATCCTTTGCTTGATACTCAGCGTTACCTATAACTATGCCTATATTTTTCTGTTCTGTTGCATATGATACACAAGATATAAGTTTGTGCTTAGGACATTGAATCTCACTCTAAAGGAAATTTGCGAAAAATTGCTACAATGAGCGTTTTTCAAGACGTCATAGTATTTAAGTGTTATTACAAAATCAAAACTATATCAAATACGTATGTGAAAACTATTTGTTTTTTAGCATGTATTTTTGTGGAAAGTATTGTGTAACATTTGACCATACCTATTGATTAGCGCGTTCTGCCTGTTCTACCTGAAGATCTATGATCTCAGCAATAATTAGAAATCTACTTTCATAACGATAGTGTCTCATCGATCGCGCTGTAGGCAAATATATGAGCATATAGTTAACTATAGCACCATCTACCATATAAGTCACTAACCTTTCAATGTAGATTTCTAACTATTGCGGAAAGAAGAAACTTAGCTTTGACGAACTCATATAGATCACGCTTATTCCATCTCTGAACAATTTTTCGCTAATTTCCAGTGCCCAGCCACTTGTGCGTGATATATTTGACAAACGTACGTTATCTCTTAACCAAAGAAACTTGTGCGTGATTATGAAACGTCGAACAGAACTTGCAAGAAATAACTGAATCTTCTGATACTTCGAATTCAGATTCCTCCATTAGACCAGATATATTTTGCAAGTTTTGAGCTTCCTATACAGTAATCAGATGGGGTATGTCCATATAGCATGACTAAAACATTAATTCTACATCTAAACATATCAGATAAGTTTGAAAGAAATCCTGAAGCAGTACGATTTTTAATGTACATATATCACAGCCTAAGAAAAACTTTACACAAACAAAATAACAGAAAAAAACCAGCTTATTGCGGAATTCAATGGCCACGCTAAATTCACACTTCTGGATGGCTAATGCTCTTGCTTTCTGATAATGTTCAGTTCGCAAGGTTTTGATGTTCAGAAAAAGGTTTCAAAAAAATGAAATCAGTGAGATGAGCAACACGACAGTGACACACGCGGCGCGATTCTTTTTTTTTTCGAAACACTTTATCTTCACATTAACGGAATTAATTTTGACTTTATAAAAATAATGTAAACGGCCATTTCAAATTCTTGGTCATTATTTTTCAGGATAACTATCATAAAAATAACATTTTTGTGCTGTCATACACTTTGAAAGTATTTTAAGAGCATGTTTTTCACATAACTAGATCTGTACTTTTGTGATTGCAAAATTTCTTGATGGTCGAAACGCACTTACAGTACGCAAGGGCTAAACAGAATTGACTTATGAGTGGTATGATGTTGAAACCAGTTGAGACATCCAAATAAAATCCACTTCATATCGTACGTGCAAACCCGAGATAGACCAGTCCACACGTACCTTAACGTAAAAAAAACGGCATAACTTCTTGTGAACCCTTGAATCATATCCAAATTGGTAGTACTACAAAATTCTCTGCAAAAAAAATTGGCATTTTTGAAAAACCGTTCTGTGTAAAACATTTTTTTTTCAATATCTGCGATCTTTGATTTTTGTTTTGAAAAGCTGTTAGTGCGCTTCAAACCATTCAGTTTTGATTTGGGATTAGTTGAAATTTTTAACCATTTTAAAGGATAACTGACGGAAGAAGATAGCATTTTTATATTATGATAACCTTGAATTGAAGTACGCTGCTTTATTTCAACAAATATGGTTCACATTTTTTATGGACTTTACAAGCAAGAGCAAGTATACGGTTCTACAATCCTCTTAATGATGTATTAAGATTTAGTGTGACCATATATTGAGGATAATATGGTTATATAGATGAAAATACATGAACCTAACGGTACAATATACTATGAAACAGCCAGTTTTGAGTTCGATATACAAAAACTGATACAAACAGTGACATATGCAGGAAAATGCCTGAATTATAAAGCAACAATCCTTTTAAAATATATACAGGTCACTGTGGTCCCAAATCGAGAGTGTTCACTCTTAGATTGTATTTTAGCTTAGAATAATACCAAGATGGCAAATGACCTAGATTGTCGCTGAGATTTCTTATCGTTTTACCACAAATTCAAACTAAAATCTTTAACTTTCAAACCTTTTTTCCTGCATGTTACTACTGCATTCTATTTCTGTGATTTTGTATCTTGGACATACCTTTGTGCTATTCGCTCTTAACTCGAAATTTTGTGCGTTAGAATAAAGTACCTAAAGTTTAAGTATTGTGCGTTCTTGTGACCTTTCTCAAATTGAATTTTTCTTCAGAAAATCGGACCAATAGCTGGGAGTGTTTTCTATAGATATACGCGTATGAAAAAGAGCTTTGAAGCTGTTATTTCGTACACTTTTGTGAACAATCTGTAATTTTTTTTAATTAGTTCAGTGTAACAGTTTACAGGTAAGGTGCACATTGCAAACTCTGGAATGATCGAATATGAAACGAAATATTTAGTGTCTTTTAAGTAATATTTCCGAAGTTTTATGTTTAAATGACTTTCCGTTTGTACTAGGTATAAATCGAACCTACATCGACTACACCTAAATAAAACGAACATGTCTTGTCCAGGTCCGCGTCCAATGATCCTGTCCGTCCAAAAGGTATGCACGACACACAAAAACTAAACAAAATTGACACATCAATAGTATCAACGTTAAAGCAACTCCTATGAAACATCCATAGACGTCAACCAAACGTTTTGTGTCGTACGCGAATAACTACCGATACAAGCCAGACGACGCGCACCTTAATCAACATTTTTTCAAAATACGTACTGATACACTTTGCAAACATGGGAATTTTGACAGTTCTTGCAAAACCTTTTAGATGTGGTAAATAATTTTTTCGTGCGCAAGTAGATGGAAATTGACTATCGCCACATACCAACGGTTTTGCCATTACACATAATTTCTGTTTGAATATCCACGATTTCTAGCTTTATTCTCCAAAAAGAGTGAAATTTGGCCTCTGTATGTAAATTGCTTTTAGAATACCATGATGGAATGTAATGTGGAGTTGCCTTTATTAAAACACTTTAACCCAACAATTTCAAAACGTTTATACATATAGAATCATTTCCAGCTAAATTCAATGGAGTGGACTTAACATTCGATTGCCAAATAAGAGACTGATTTTCGTCCTCATATCATAAATGTTCACTTGTAAGAACGGCAAACTGCATTTTGATACAGGGTGTCCTTTCACATATATTATTAGGATAAGTTATACTTCGCTCCTTGGATTTTGCGAGTTAAACAACCAGTTTTTAGTTCATTTCGTGATGCATTATATGAAATTTCGAAGACACATAGCGAAATATAGGTTGTGTTTCATGATTCATGATATACCGACTATTAACTTCTTTACTTTTGCATATTTGTGGTTGTATTTCGCAAAATCTTGTATGCATCAATATTTTGAAGCTTGTAGCATTTCAAAAGTGAAGCAAATCTTTGGAATAGGAATATTTTTAGTCTAAATTGTCCGTTGCAGTCGTGGTTAAAGAAATTATCGTAGCAGAGGATAAAATTTTTCATTTTCAATTGTCCGATTGTGGTGGAACTACTACAAACTTCTATTTTTTGATGATTGGGCACGAAGAATGTTGTTAAGTTAGTATTTATCACAATTGCTTATTTTGCGGATTCGAAGCAAATTAGATGTCCAAACCTCACTGGGATATAATCGGTAGGAACTATAATATAATATTTTGCTTCGATTTTAAGGACACATTCTACTTATTTTTTCCTGACACCCCGGTAGTTTTGTTTACTTTTTCCATATCAAATGAAATGCATCAAACGTCATGTTTTGCTACAGTTTTTTTTAGAAGAGTTCTTATCTTAAATATACCTCCGAGGTAACAAATAATACTGATTTTTGAGTTTAATTGATTTTAAGCATTCGTTCTCCAAAGAGGATTGAAATTTGTGCGTGCTATGTTTGACAGAGGGTTATATCCTTTCAAAAAAATCATTAATTTTGATATGAAGTGGAATTATACGTAATTTTATCAGTTTTCCCACCAATGAAAATTAATCATAACTAAAAGGAAGTGTAAGTCATATTGAGATATTTTTAGTAGAAAACTTGAGGTAGGTGGTATCGAAAATCACAAGTTTTGTGACTTTGTGAAAAAAATGAGGTAGATTTTGTAGTAGGAACGTCAATTTTTTACAAAACATCCATACGATAAAATATTTCCTATTTTTCGTAGGTACACATTCCGAAGATTTTACAATTGCTTTTGTAGTCCTGAGCTGAAACTAAAATCATATATTTAGAATAACTCTGTGAATACAACTATATGTACGCTGAGTGTATTGCTTTCATTGTTTCTAAAAAAAGTTTGAGATAACCAAAACCTCGATTAGTTTGAAAAAAAATAAAAATTATGATGAAAAGTCGCATAAACGTAGATAAACAGAACTGCCGAACATTTTAGTTTTATTATAAGAAAACTGTAGCTACATATTATGAAAATCTTTATATTTTTTCAACTTGAGACCATTTTGTTTGGATTAGCAGACTGGATGATTTTTAATCCTAGTTTTTCTGGAATTAGCTCGTACGGATCTATTATGATAATTTGCTATAGTTTTTGTAAATGGGAGAGTATTTTTGTATTTTGTTCATTGCCATATAAATATGTTTTATTATCTCAATTCTAGTTGATTTTGTTCATGTTTGGTAATTATTTGTGTCGCACAATTTCGGAGAAATCTCAAGGAAGCTTGTCTAGATGTTCACATTGTAGCAGTACTTTTTATATGTGACTGCTTTCACGCTTGAACTTTCTGGAACCCCTTCTGTTACCTATTGAATAAGTCTTTGATGTTGTTTTTATTATGACTGTAAGTAGGCTTCGATATATTCCAAAATTCACCTATCGTGGACTTGATTGGATTGGATTTACAAACCCTGACACAGGCATATGTGAAGGATTACTACACTTTTGTGCAATTTCGTCTCTGAGACGCTTAAAGCCCAAATATGATGTGATCCTCTGTTCTAAACGTAGGTAGACATAATCTACCTGTCCTGCAGTTACAGGAAGACCAAGATTGTCATACCTACTATCAACTAACTAGTAACAACGACTGTTAGGTATGCTACAATTGACAACTCTGATGTACTATCAAGACTGTTTTTTTTTCATTTAAATACTCAAATAAGATATTTTCAAACTTCAAAACGACAAATTTAATGCTTCGATTTCCACGATTTGTCAGATTTTCAGCGAGAATAAGACAAATCTTCATCCAGGATGTTAAAGTTATTAAAATTTATATATCGAATGCATTTTTTGTTCAGGGTGCATAGTTCATCAGTTCAGTTTATGGACAAATGACATAGTGGCATATGAAGAGAAAATTTTGAAAAATATTACTAACGAAGACGTAGTAGATCTGTGTAGATTTTTTTGTCAATGGACGTTGCAAGAATGATTCATCACTAACGTATAACTCCACATTCCAATTTTGAAAACGTCATCAATTTTGTATAATACCTCGGAAGTACAGTGATGCAACCAGTGATGCCAACTTTTGGAAACATTTTTGAGAAAATCGACTGGACTTTATTTTTTGAATTCCATACACAAGATACAACTAGGGCAAGCATATAGGATTTGGCAACACTGGCACATAACTGAGAACCTATTTTTTGTACGTTTTTTTCCTTATATTAGTTTTGGCTAGTCGTTTTAGTACGGACAGTTGTCTCACGGTTATCTGGTTGTAATTTGTATTGTTCTTGTTCTTCATTTTTTTACCTAAAGATTTACCTGCACTATAGAGGTCATATGTTTGGAAACCCTCATAAAAAGGGGAAGTGAAATTAATGAACTCAATTTTTAGGGCCCCCATATCAATTTTTGTCGGAAATCTTTTTTAATCAAAAAATATTGCGTTCTGATAGAGATATAAAACAGGGATTATGTGTTTCCAGTTTCGAGGCTGAATATGAATAAATACAAATATCTCTAATATTACATAAACGATTGAATATCAATTTTCGAAAGTCATCGTAAGAGGAATTTTAGAATGTTTTAGATGTTTTGATGGGAGCCCTTTTTATCCAGAAGAAAGTTTTTTCGTGGACACCCTGCATGTAACCGGACATTAATAAAGAAATCCGTGCCTAGTTTAAAACAGATATATACTTATGTACTTAATAGTGCCGAATATTTGAGTATTAATAGTAGTATGAAAAAGTAAGCTAGGAAGTTGATCGCTAAGGTTTGAAGTGGAAGTTTAGAACTTATCTACTATTTATTAGTTTACAGATACCATGTTTTCATTGACTAATGCAATTCTGGTGTTTTGAAAGTTCCAGAATATCAATATGCGATGCTATCTTTACTGCGTTACATTTAAGAATATTTTCTCAAAGAAATCATCAACGTGCATTTCAAGATTTTATCTGTTTTAAAAGGATAATCGTTCGGACAAAGTTCATACAACATTATGGATTGCACAAAATTGTTAGTCAATGAAAAATGGATTTAAATTAAGAAATTAAGGATTAAGAATACTTTCAACACACGGATTAGAAGAGTGGATTTTGTCAGCTATTAGGCTATGTGTATTGATAGCATGCTTGTTCTGAAGTGCTTCTAACGTTTTTTTTAATAGCATAGCATGATAAATATTATATTTTTAGCGCCGGAAAAATAATGTAGTTATGGGCAATACTAGTCACGTAATTGTCTTTTGAAAACGTTGATTTTCAGTTTTTAAATATTATTGGCGTTGGCAGCAACATTGCACAATGTGGATTTTTCAGTGGTTTTCTACAATAGTTGAGTCAGAAAAATGATTATTTTCGGTTATAAATTAGATATAAATATAGAATACTGTAGTATTTATCATAGCACGGACTATTTGCGAGGTGTACGGCACAGCTTTTTACCTAAACTACAATTTCATCGAAAAAAAGAATCGTGAATCGATCAAATTAGAAGCACTTCAAAATTTTCACATTTTCTTGATATACAAAGATGATAACATACTTAGGGCTTACATGTACTTATCAGTAATTTTTGGCATGAATTTGTGCGTTTCGTATTGCTTTTGTGCTTTAGAATTTGCTACTACTGAACCATCCATCATGACATTACCTAATACTACGTCTTCCCTTTCGCAAACTGAAGATTTTGAGAAGAGAGCGTTGCCGTTTGCAAAAACTAAGACATAATTTAGTTCATACTTGCTCTGAATTGAAGCCATATACTTCGAACCTAGACAATTTTTTGGAATATGCCAAAAGTATTGTCATGTAAAATGATTTGAGTTCAACAGGTATTTTTAGTTTCTAAACACATAGAACTTAGGAAATGATCAAGATCAAGACGTATCAGGTAAAATAGCGTCATAAGTCATGGGGAAATCCAAATCTATTTTTTGAGTATAAGGAATCCCTCGCTTACTTTTTGAACGGAACGAGTTGCCAGGCTGAAATTCGAGGTGATGAAATAGACACATGAAACTATATTTTAGCATACAGTGAACGCTTGAAAATTTTATGTTGGAAACATTTTTTAGACAGAATAGCGGGTAGTGTGTTACCTTATTTTGAAGGTTATTAAAAGTACCTTATAATCATAGAATATAAATTTCAAAATGGCGAACTGACGGGCTGGCAGAGGCAAGCCCTTTTGTACATTGAATCGCTTATAATGTAACAACTAATCAAAACAGGTATATCAATCCTGTTCTCTTGGCAGAATACATCCAAATAAAATATAGAACATTTCATTATAAAAAAATAACAAAATCAGTGGAATCTCATGTTTTATTGCACATTCAGATAAACTATCCCAAAAGCAGAAGATTAATATCGTACAGCGTTTTGATGATTAGTTGCTCGGTTAAAAACGATTCAATGTACAAAAACGCTCAACTTTGACAGCTCACCAGTCATTTTGAAGGATAGTACATATCTCTACTGTTATGAAGTATCACGTAACCCTACCTTCCGTTTAAAAATGTTCTATCTTGAAAATTTAAATTGTCACGTTTACCTTAAAATATGGTATACATTCTCCAATTTCATCAGCCCAAGTTTTAGCTTGCTAACTTGACCCGTTAAAAAATAAGAGGGTAGGGGGTGACCTTTTTGAATAACATCGGGTATAAATTAGTGAATATCTGATTCCATGAAATATGTCTCCAAATCAATGCACGCAAGAAATCTGTGAAGGACTGGCACTAAGTATGACAGTTCAAGCACAAACTGTCATACATAGTGTTTTGTACTTCGATGATTGCACAGACAGCTAGTAACACTTATATATACTGATTCTTCATAGACGGCTTGGCCACAAATGCGGCAAGTACTAGGTCAAAAAAAATTGTTCTATTTCTGCGCAGAACTATCTTGTTTTAACATCTGTCAAATGTAGTGAAACGCATTTGTTTTACATACTGATTTTGTCTTGGGCAGCATCGTGAATATTTTCTTTGGAACAGATATTTTTGTACGAATATTTAATACATGAGTGTTCTAATTTTTGAATAGTAATGGTTTGCAGTTAAGCTAATGGCAGCAAATTGTTTAGATACGTCCGTGGATTAAATACCCTGAGATGAAAACTTGGCAGACGAGATGGAAACTTTGCAATTTTAGGAGACTTTTTCCAACTCGATTTTTTTGCCATTTTGGCATTTGGAAGATACCCTTTAACATGAATATCGACAATGTAGGGAGGTAACTCGGTGCAACTTTATTTAAACAATCCTTTCCAAACAATTTACATAATATTTGCGTGACGCTCAGGACAATTTTTTTACGTTTTATCGGTCATTCTAGATAAAAAAGGTTCTTAGAACTTTTTTGTTTAGTTGACGGTTTTCGAGTTATAAGTGATGCAAAGTCTGAAAAGGCTCAGAAACTTTGTTGAGGATTTTCTTTTTTGATGTTGGTGTCTAAAGTTCATACCTTTCCCTACATAACCCCTAAGACTATTCTGGGCTTAGTTTATTTTAAAGTATTGTTATTCAGCCTACGGAAAAAAGAATGTTCGAAGAAATATGCATAGATTACTGCTCAGCAAACTACTCACTCATGTTAAGGGATATCTAATGAACGTGATATGAAAAAAAAACAATTTGGAAAATTTCTCCAACAAATGCGAAGTGTTCATATCTATGACGTTTAAAGGATGTTTGTTTGCTGACTACTATGGATATCGCTTTAGTTAATTTATTTGTATAAACTCGGACACCAGAATCATGAATTTAGGCTTTACCGGAGTACCTATTCGAAAAGAGTTTTTAGTTCTGCGCAACAAATTCAGTATACAATTTACTTAGTATCTAATACACCATATATTTTACAAACAGAATGTATGTTTCCTATGTACATGATAGAAAGTTAACAGACCAATTAAAGCGCCAGAGTCTGTATAGATATACAAACCTTTATGATATGCCAATTGAAAAATGCCTATAAGATGTTACTTTCTTTTTATATCACCTTTACCATCACTGTTACTGCTTCCTGAATATTATGGTTCAAACTATATTTATTATCAGAGAAATGTGCGTGTTTTTTAAGATGGTGACTCAAGATATTTTTGGTTATATCCAAAATATTTTTACAGTTTTAAATGCTCTTTCGTTGTTTTCGTTCTTCCTTGACTCGTATAATAAAATATTTTTGCTGGATTCAATTTTATTTATTATTACTGGGTCACACTTTTTCAACCAAAATGCAGATACCTAGGTTTTGACACTAGCTGTATTGGAGATGCTTGATGTTGATTAAAAAACATATCTTCAGATTTGGGTGGGTATCCTCCCGCAATATCAGACTTTAAAGAAATTCTGACAGTGTTTTTCAATTTCTAGACGACCGTCCCTCCCCCGAAACATATTCCTAAACATGAATCCTGAGCTTCTTTGGGCCCATCCAAAAAACATTTTCTAGATCCTCCCCTGGATTTGAGGGTTATTCTAAATTCTTGTTTGTAAATGTTTTCAAATTGCTTGAATTTGTTTGGACAAAAGTTCCTAAAATATATCGAGTCACCAGTCAGTCTACTGGAAAAATCATCAAACTTTCCCCGAATGTTCAAGGATGTCAGATTTTCCATGATATCAGAAATTTGTCTTTTGCCTTGCAGATATTTCGTGATAGTATAAGGCTAATCAGATATATATTTTTTATCTTGATTAAACTAGGCACTGCAATGTGACGTTTAAGGTATTTCGTGTTGGTAAGCGTATTCCAGATGATATACAAAGTTAGCTTTGTGCGCGAAGTTTCTAGTTGAACAGGTTACTTTAGAATATAGTTCGGTATTTCTCGAATACCTGGGGTCAACATCTCGTACTCGATAATATTCGGCCAAGACTGTTTTACTGTTGTATTCTGTAACCAAAACATTTTCACCTATCTCGAGATTGCTTAATCCTGTTTTTTATTGTCAAAACATTTATTGTCAAATTCACTAAACATACGGGTGATTTAGAAAAAAAAATGTAAAAAATGACAGATTGATGTAAACGTCTTAAACCAAACATTTTCATGCATTCGCTAAAAAATTTACGTGAAATAAAAAAAAACAAAATAAAATCAATTATTTTTATTAAAATTAAAATAAATATATACAGTTAAAAAATAAATAACAAGAAAGCTATCTATAATTGACAAATGACTTCATCAAAACCACCCACGAATGTAGTACTGACAAATATTTTCAAAAAATCATTTGTAAATTATAATTGAAATATAAGTAACATTTTTTTATATTTACAAAATGTTATGAATTAGATTAAGCAATCAACAGTATACTTATCTTTTTTACAATAAGATGGGTACCAACTTTTCAAAACCAACTTTATTTCGGATTATATAATTTTTGTACAGAATATCAATTTGAACATTTTTTCTGGTTGACGGAATTCTCACTTTTCACGTTTCAAAAATACTAGGAGAAATGTGCACCTGCATGGCAATATCCGGACATTTTTGAGCGCGTAAATGATTCAATTATATTATCCCTTGTTTTTAAAAATGGATTCACAAAAGAATTAGATGTGAATATAGACTTTTATCACTCAAATAGTTTAAAAAACCAAAATGAACTTATTATCGACAGATTCGTGGGTTTCTTTTACACGCTTTTTTAATACTTTTGCTCGATTTCTGGGATTTCCGGAATTATATACGGATTCTCAAAAACACTGGAACCCAAGACTGTAAGATATGGCAAGTTCCAAGATATTTGCTAATCGTTAATTCTGGTCTACCTGTTTTTATTCAATTCAAATTTTTGAATTCAAAAATAGTTTGTGTATTTTTAAAAGATTGAATTTTCAAGTTTGATTCAGGAGAAAAGTTTACATTTTACTGTTTCTGAATTTAAACTGTTGTATCTGTTTTGAGATTGCTTTTGTAGCGCATATGTATGTGATGTCTGGTAAATCTTTTTACAAACATTGAGCAGTGTACCTTTTGAAATTATTGTATTGGAGTTTAGCTTGCGTCAGAATCTTTAGATTTGTGCAACTTGTATCAGTTTCCTGTATTAAAAAATTGATATTTGTAGTTTGAAGATAAATAACTGTTTTAATTAGCGATTCTTGCTCTTGAAATCAGCATTTTTTGAAAATAAAACTAAACTCCCGTTTTATTTTTTCATAACAGATTTTTGAGAAATCACGATAGGACATGAGTTTTGCTTCAATGAATGTATCATAGACCAAGATATTGTGACGCCATGAGCGCCATCTGCAGACTACAGTAAAATTTGCCTTGTCTTCCTTAATGACACGTCAATGTTTAACGAGGTGATGCTTGAACCAATTTTAAGAAAAGTAGAGAGTAGAGTTTTCTGGAAGAAATCTGTATTATATAATAACTGTGATACTCTTGCAGCTATATTTGTGAAATTTGGTACACATCTCTGCGTCATTTTCTGATGTACAGTTTTATTAATCCTACCAGTGGCATCCGCACGGGTTTTGCTTTCTCTTTAAATAAAAACCCCTTTTTGAAATCCTCACTCATTTCTGATCAAATTTGATTCGTTGATTTTATATCGTCCGACGTATGATATTCGCTTAAAAAATTAAAAATCGTTATTCTTCCGGATCAAATCGCTAAAAATCTGATGCGGTGACTGCTGTGCGGAAATCGTTCTTTTTTTCTTTTTTAAAGTATTAAGTGAGTTTAATATCAAGAACGGTATGCCGATAAGAAAAAAATATTTATTTTTGTAATTCTCATACATTTTTGGACAAATTTGATCACCTAGTATTGTTTTAGCTGATACACAAACGTTTTCCACAATTTTTTAAACGAAACTCATGCGACAAACGAAAGAAAATTAAGAGACCAAGATTGCTGAAAAACGAATTATGATTTCAAAAATGGTTTTTCAACAAAGACACAGTGGAGAACCATTTTTTTTTGTCCAAAAATATTCAATGCAAAACCCGTACTGACGGCACTGGTAGAAATAATAAAATTGTTTGTACATCAAAAAATGCACCTTGACGCATAGATGATATCTACCAAATTTCATAAAGATATCTTCAATAGCATAACTTTTTTTTGCAATACAGATTTTTTTCTGAAAACTACAGTCTTGTATCTCAAAGGTTAAGACGTCTAGGTTATGCATACATATGATATTTTTTCTTAAAATGGTTTCAAGAATCAACTTAAATTTTAGCATGTTATTAAGGAACGCCCTATATAAGCAACCATCGAAGCTACAGTCTGGAACCTGGAAATATTCTCGAATTTTCTGGAAGGATCGATAGGAGGCAATACAGATAAAAACAGGCGATAGAACGCGAACGAAATATATAATAAATATGTGCTTTTAAGTAGTAATGCATAAGTTTTTTCATCAACTCGCTCAAAAACGTCCTGATACTGAACAAAAAATCACCAACAAAACATTTTAATTAGGAACTGCGGCCTGTACTAAGCATACCTTCAGATCCTTAGCGAAATGTGAGATGTCGACTATGGAGTCGACCATTTCTTGAACCGCAATCACGGAAGGAAACTGCAGGGCGGCCATCTTAGTTTTGTTCACGCTTGCAGCTAAAGCATCTGCAAGAGCATTGGCGCAACTCAGCGCTCTATCTTTAATTTCTTTACATGAGACGTTCCTATGGACAGTGTCACCTATAAGCACCAGTTTATGCGCGCTGAGGACAACGAATTTTCCGTGGGCCAAGAAGATTTTTGGGGGTTGGTTGTGTTCGACAGTTTGAAGAAATGCATCTATCGCGTGTGTAAGGTTTGTGTGATGATTGACGACTTGTGCCGCATAAAAAGTTAGTAGCTGCTTATCGTCAGCGTCCAATCCTGCCGTTTTGTGATCATCGTCAAACGCAACGTCGTCCGCATGTTTGACACATTGGTCGTAGCCTTTTTTCAAATCTTTTGGTAGTTCTTTTAAAATTTCAGCATGGTTTCTGTTTATATTTTCTTTTGAGTCTAAACTGACATAATCGTATTCCTCAACCCACTCAGGGTTAGTTTGTGATTCTTTTTTGAAGAGCAATAATCCGTTGCCTTGGATGAAAGAGGCGATCTGACGGATATCCTCGGTTAGAGCCCTGGAGCAGGCTACTAACTGCTCCAACTCGTCAGGTTTGTGCATTTTATCATCGTCGCCCGACCTAGAGAGCAAATCTAAAGACCAGTTGTGTTTGTTAAGTTTCTCGGAAGCTTCCTGCACCAAACTGTCGGATTTTCGAATGGCCGATACCAAAGGCGCCAGTTTTCCCGCCAAGTTCTTGTCAGAGGCTCTTGCGGCGTTGCCAAGTGTCCCTTCGCCGAATTCCGCGAGGTCGTGCAACGACGTATGCAGTCTCGTCACGGCAAGCTTGATTTCCATTAGGTTTTGCTCGAGTTTGTCTTTTGTCCTCCACTGGGGTCCAACAAATCTGTAACAAGTATAGTCATGATTTAATGCCGATAATCAAACACAAAATTGCATTCTTTTTCGCATATTTGAAGACACATCCGATAAATCATATTATTATTTAAATGAACTAAACTAGCAAGCAGTTTCAAAGGAAGCCACACCGAGCAAAACAAAACATATGTCAAACGCGTTGTTGTCAGGCGAGCTTTGATTGGTTGAATAGGGAACGGCAAAGGCAGAAGGTTAAAACCTCGTCAAGTCTATGTCAGCGTTGCCGACGAACGTTGCTGTTTATAAACAGTTTGACTTCAAGCGCATAATTCAAGTTCTGCGTTACGGCAATACTAGGGCAGTGGTGCGGAACGTCAGAGTTTATAAATCGAACTTTATACATGTGTAAAAATTTACTCTCACACTTACAGTATAAAATTGGAAGTTTCGTGATATTCAGAATCGCATAAGTAATGGCATACTAGCAAAATGTAGACTACATATAATCAGCCAGTGAAAAAATTATTGAAATCTGCCAATAAATGACAGCGAAATTGATACTTAAATTTGGCGCATTATAGCAGGAAATCATTGCTGTTGTTCGTTCGCGTCTGACGTCACACTTCTCTAGTATCCAGCGCCCTCGTCGCGTAGGTGTTTGACAGCGTCATTAGTCCGCTGCAACGAAGACTATAGTAACTCAAAAATCCTTGCTTTTGTCTTACTATATGGTAAGGATAGACTTTATCGGGTTCTTTTTGGTGAAAGAATGTGGTATCTCAGTCATGCAACTATAGGCAACCAGTAAATCTTCTACGTCATATAGTAAGTATAATAGTGGCGGTTGCTCCCGCGAAAACTACATCATATTGAGTTACTTTAGTCTTCGATGCAAAAAATCACGGAAAGCCTAACTTACTGTTAGACCAACTGTCTGACGTACTATGATTTTTGCGGCATAGTTTGAGGTTACGGTAATTAATAACCAAAACGTTTCAAGTAGTAGCTGTATGAAAAGAGCAGTTTTTAAAGCGAACTAAAATAAATCCAAGAACCAAAATAATTCTGTCAGATGCAAAGAAGCTAAGTGCCGTTGCTGAACCGTTAAATTCAGGTAAGTGTGAATCATAAATAGTGATGAATTCTTTTAACACAACAAAAAGATTCAAACAAAGCATTCTCTATTGCAAGTTATGCATTGGGATCTATCGCATCACAGACAGATTCTCTCATGCCTGTTAAATACAAAGAAATAACACAGAATTCAACAACTACAGTCCTCGGTTTTGCTAAGACGACACTAACTTGTTTTCTTTTCATTCGTTCATCTCCAAGTCTGGACCTGGCACAGACCTATATCGTATTGATGAGGGCTAAAGAGCCCGGTTTGCGGTTGGTCGTGGATCCCTTAGTTTTAAATTAGGTAAAGGTGAAATCGGAAAATTGGAACAAAGTCAATTGTGGAGAAAAGTTGAAAATAAATAAGTGCCTCGTGAAATGAAATATAAGTGTGCTATGCTGATGATCTCACGAAAAATTGACTGTCAGTGAATGAGACCCCAAAACAACACACTTCAGGAACTATCTTTGCTGTACACAAGTTTGCTTCCAGTAGATGCTAGAAAATTAAATGGTTTATTAGACCTATGTAAATCAAAAGCAAACAGTCTTCCTAGCATTCCTGAGGCTTACCTGCTTTTAATTTTTCTCTAAAAGCCACAGAAGATAAAAAAATACCAAGTGGTCATAATATTAACAGTGCTGAAAATACAGAATTGAGAACGATGATAGAGGAGAATACGAAGATGAATATAATTTGAGTGACTCAGATTCGCATTAAAGAAGTTTTTTCGACCATTTGTTTGATAAATACTGTAATATTTCAATAAATATTCTACTAAGTCTAGAGCAAGTGCACTTTTTCCTTCAAGTGATTCAACGAAAACTATATTAAGTCAACAAAATTTATAATAAAATTTCATTTTCGCTAGGTTTGCATTGTAATACCATTTATAGCCTTCTTTATACAAGAATTACTGCAATGTGCAACATATTTTTGATGCGGTCGTCACTTTTCTGACAACGGAATCTATCAGAAAATCTTCTAATGCCTATATCTCAGTTAAACCAAAACTGAGTTACAATAGCCTTCTTTGCAGGGGTCGATACCATTATGGAAGCCAGATTTGTAAAAGGGTTAAGTGACAATTTGCCCAAAATTGACATTTATGCAGTGATGGAATTCATTTTTTTGCACATGCACACAGTAAAGAATCAACCTACTTGACGCCTTTTTAGGGGGGTAAGTGACACTATAGTAGCTCACAGCTATTCTCGCTGAGTTGAAATAAGTGACCTGTAATATTAGTTGATAAATATTTCCCCTCCAAATGCGCGTGTAGAGTGAAGTGAGCTTGGAAATCATATAATAACTAATAATCATAAATAAATAGTAAAGTTATATACTCGTATCAAAGTGGTCTTCTCAGATATATGTTGTACTTTTTGGTCCAATCAAAGCACGCTTCATAAGTTTGCACCATTTCTTCCTTATATTTTCATGTAAAGGTACGTAGGGGTTTTAATTGTCGTGCTCGTACATTTTAGAACCCTACAGTATTTATAACAACCTTTTTTCTTATTTCGCTCATAACCGATCGTATAATATGCAGTCAACAAGTCAACTAATTAAACAAATTGGGGCGGTAGACGTCTAGCCTTCCATGTGTCCCGCAGTATATGTGCCTATGCATGTATTTAGGAGATTGAGTCGGCTCGGGCCCAGGAATCGGCCGCGGGCGTTGCAACTGGATACTGAAGTGTGACGTCATGCGTAGCGTACAGACGGAATAAAAATATTCTCGCGGGGCGCAACTTTGATAGGCTGTAACTTTTTTGTTTTTAGAGATAAATTAATATTTTTTTCACCATCTTGTTTCATTTTTCCTAAACTTTTATTCGAGCTAATAACAAAAAAATGGTAAACTTGCCCATAATAAGAAGATTTATCTTGCAATCTTTTTTTTTAAATATTTTTTTTGAAAAAATATTTTTTTTCCGATCTGGTAGCCAAATAAGTAACTGTTACTAAAACGATGAAACGACAAAGGCTGTGTAGATTGTTGATTTGTGTTTCGAACGCGAGAAAGTCGCTTTGCTCGAAGTGTTCACCTTGTCCAGGTTTTCCCTACTATTTGCAATTTGGACAGGGTTGATCTATACTTGATTTTACTAATCCAGGGCGCAAAATTTGCACCTACTGTACAAATTCTATAAACGAGAACGCGATTTTGAAGTAATGGATCTAATGATTATGGTCGACTTCTTATAAAATGTCTCTCATATTAGATAAAATGTAAACAATTTGTGTTAAGATATTGAATCAACAGATACTTCATATAACATCTGGTTTAGCTACAACTAGTTCTATTCTTTCATCTGGCCCCGGACACAAAATTTGCGACCGAGACTCAAATTAGACCAATCAAAAAGAGTGATTTGCGATATAATCGCAAATTCAAAGAATAAAAAAAGAATTTGGAGCCGACTCGAAACATGGAAAAAATACAGAATGCTAAATTGACAAATATCGAGTGATTATTCAATATGCCTTGCCTTTTTGCTTCCTACGCCAATGGGCAAGGAAGTATTGTAATCGCGAAAAATTTCGAAAATGAGATATTATGTTTTTTGGATGTGATTATTTAACCACCCATAACACGGATTTTGATGACATTTTTACACCGTGTTACTAGTATGCCAAGGACGAAAAAAGAATAAAAATCACTCAAACTTCGTTTCAGAGTCTCCTAATCGTTTCCGGATTTTTTTTTGCAAGAGTTGACATTTGGAGACTGGGGTTGTATGGGGTAGGGGGCTGTATATGTTATGTCTATAGTATCAGTCACAGAAGTTCGATCACTAAGAACCTTCTGATCCCGGTAACAACAGGAACATTCAAAGATAAAAGTCTGATGTATAATGTGCTCTCACCGCTACAGTTGAATATTTACATATTTTAGAAATACTTGGATATTAGGAATACTTTAGCGTTCTGCGATGCTTTTGTAAATGATTACTTACTTCATTGTTTTTATATCTGCACATATTTTTTTAAATTTTATGAACCTTATATGTACCCGGTCATTTCGCCTAACAATTTAATTTGTGTTACTCAGTATATGATGGTTCTCTGAATATTTCGTCAAGTAGATTGACTAGTACTTATAACGCATTGATATACAACAGACACGGAATGACAAACCGGACATAAATGAAAAACACGAACTTGTGTGATGCAAATACCTTAGGCAACAGAATACTTGTGAACTGAAGTTGGAATATTATCGCGAGTCCAATACCTACATCCATTAGGTCTATGTAGTCGCACATAGTGTTCCAACGTTACAGAGATTCCTGCTCATTTTCAGACATTGTTTGGAGGGGTCGAATATTGTAGGTTGCAAGCTGTATGAGGTAAATGTTTGAAATTATTGCAGTAAAATACTTTCTATTACTAAGAAGCTGCTGATCCCACAAATGTTTTCCCTACATCTGCCATGGAAACAGAAATATGTTTATATAGTTTGATATGATAAAGGTCGAAGATTCATCGTGCCTAAGTGAACCTACCTAGTCACGATTAGATTCCGCCTTTTCAAACCACTTGGCTAATCCCATGTCTTTGAAACTTCCAACGAAGGTGTATGAAGTATAGAGTCAATCTACTTGACGCCATTGTTTCATTGGTTGAACTTGTGACTATATCGCAAATCCTTCTTTTTAATTGGTCGAATTTGCGTCTCGGTCGCAAATTATGTGTCCGAAGCCAAATCAGAAATAGGTTTTTGTAGCTAAACCAGGTGGTTCTTGGTTCAACATGAGAATTATGTACCATAGGCGCAAATTTTGATTCCTGCGGGTCAATAGTAATATCGGCATAATTTCGTCAACCTACCCGAGCAATTTAGAAATAGCACTGGTCGTATCAGTCTGTAATCTCTCCAGATTCTCCAGGGCGGAGTTCAGTTCCAGGGGTAGCTCCTTGATCTGCGAGGGCACGTCGTAGTTGAGCGGAGCAGGGGGATGGGAAGGATGAGTAGGAAGGTGGGAATATGAAGTGGGAACGGGTTGGACCACCCTGCTGATGGGCTTCGGCACGTCGTAGTCGGGCATGTTGGCCAAACTGCTTCGGTTCGACGAGCTGAACGAGTCGGTTGTGGTTAGAGAACTTGCCGAACTGCTGGGAGTCAACTGGTGCAGCTGATGGCCTGCAACAAAAAAGGTTGTCAAGTCGGTTGACTCTGCACTTCCCACGCAACATTGTCCTCAGTTCATAAACGATTATGTTCGGCACAAGTTAGTCCCTCTGAACTAGCTAAACAAAAAAATTGAAGTAAGTCAGTCAAACAGGCTCATGCAATTAGTCTATACTCCATAATTTCCACCTAGCTAACGCTAGCTTCTTCCCTGCTCTAAACCGACCATCTGGCAACTGTGCTGAACCAGTAACTCGAGAGAACCGGCGATGCAGTCAGAGTCAATCAGATGCAAATACGCAGGCAGTGTTAAGCGTGTCGCATCTACAAACGTTTCTCTAAGTTTCAAGAGCAAATGTAGAAATCTGTGATGTGTGTGAATATGTACTGATAGATGCGTAAAATTAATGGGGTTCGGTGTATCAATATTTTGCTCCTAAAAGAATGATCCGCCCCCTGAATGGATGAATCTTGAAATTAGAGGCATTCCGGCCACCATAGGCCGCTTAAGCGGGCCCTTATGCACCTCTACAATCCTTAGATCACAAGCCTCGCCCTTTTAGCGAAGTTGAGAATCGCCTTGAGTCCAAGCTCCTTGACGTCCTGAGGGTCCAAAGTAATGGACCCCAGTATAGTCTGCCTATAGTAGTTCAGAGCTTCACAGCGACACAAAACGTGCGCCGAGGTCTCCTCCTCTACCCCGCAGCGTTCACACAAGGGATCCTCAGCCACCCCCATCACGTGCAGGTGACGCCTTAACGTGTTATGGCCAGACAACAGTCCCACCAGCAACCTTAGGTTGGCTCTATCCAGAGATAGGCAGAAGCGTCCATCCTTAGCACTGGGCCCTTCAATGAGTTCTCGTGCCTGGCGGAGATGTTTGGAGATACTTCTCCATTTCTGAGAGTGTTGTCTTGCAACCCACGTCTCCATTTTCCTCCTAGCTTTATGCGCGGTCACTCCTAGAGCTGGCTCAGGACCAACGAGCTTGCTGGCTGATCCTGTCTTCGCCAGAGTGTCCGCCGTCTCATTGCCCCTTATCCCAGCGTGCCCCGGTGCCCATATTAACGATACCGGATGCCTCGCTGCGAGGCAATCCAGAGCCTCCCTGCATTGCAATACAAGATTCGAAGTAATCTTACAGGCACTTAGTGCTTTCATTGCAGCCTGGCTGTCGGATAAGATTGTTATTCTTCTCCTAGGCCCACCCTGCTCCAGAATGTGAGATACACCAGCCAGAATCGCAAAGATTTCCGCCTGGAAAATGGTGGTAAAACCACCGAGAGGCAGAGATAGCCTAGTTCTAGGCCCAGAGACCCCAGCACCTGATCCCTCTTCGGTGACCGAGCCGTCCGTGTACCAGACCTGCCCGCTCACTCCGGAGAGTCCCCGGCTACCGGCATCCCACTCCTCCCTCGTTGGATACTCCACAATAAACTTGCGGTTGAAGCGATATTCAGGGGTAATACGATCACCCCTGCTTAGAAGGACGGGGTCCTCCCTTTGTAATTCGTCTAAGATGGCAGTATGCCCCTTGACAGGGTTCAAGAAAGCCCAGCTGCCCTGACTCCACAGTCGATGAGCGACTACTCTCGCTTCACCGCGGATCACCAGATCCAACGGTGGGAGATCCAACAGAGCTTCCATTGCACTCAATGGCCTTGTTCGCACCGCGCTTGTAATACTAATACAGGCCAAACGCTGAATTTTATTGAGTTTGGCCTTAGTTGTCTAGTTCTAATGCAAGGCCACCAGACCAGAGAGCCGTACAAGAGAGATGGACGTACTATCGTCGTGTAGAGCCAGTATACCACTTTGGGTATCCGCCCCTACAAACCCGACTTCCAATCCCTGCAAAAAATTTTCTGACCATGATCAGGAGCCTCTGAAATATCAAAAAACGAAGTTTCTGCGATTTTTATTTATATCGTGTTTTTTGCCACGAGCTTCGCCACCACTGAACCGAATGTCAAAAAACACAACTTGTGCGTCCTTGGCATAGTAGTAATACTGTGTAAAAATTTCATCAAAAACGATACTTCTCAAGCTCAAGTTATAGGAGTATAGGAAGATATAAGTTATAAGATTAGCGGACAGACCGACAGACAAACAGACCGTCGGAAATGAGTGACATGGTTTTTCATGATGTACATATCATATAATATCCAAAAAATATAACTTTTTTCAAAAATGTTCGCAACTACAATACTCCCCCGCCACTCGTGTCGTTATTTATTTGGATTAGAATCATTTTCCACCCTAATTAAAAAATTCTCAGGAACAAGAGTTAACCCAAAACCTTTCTTCGAATTTTCACTTACCGATTATTGTATATGTTACCGGACAAACCCGATTTTAGGATAAACTAGTTTTTCCTAGGCCAAACCAGTTTATCCGAAGAGCGATAGGATGAACTAGTTTATCCTAGCCTAAACTGGTTTTTCCTGAAATAAGTTAATTATGATTAGGAAAAACTGTTTTGTCCTAGTCTAAACTATTTCAACCCGCGATTTAACTAGTCTGAACTCGTCTGAACCTTGGTTTGGCTCGCCGGCGCCGATCGCAAGGATTTAGTTTGCACGCGTACGTTGACTGTATGGAGCGTTCGTCTTATTGCAAAATCGTTGCGTATTGTGCGTGTTGTCCATAAGCTAAACATTCTGAAACATTTCGTGATTGTTTATGTATCTAAAGTTCGCAGAGTATTTCTGTATCTCATTAACATGGATGAGGCTTCATCAAGCGGGCACGTAGGTCAAAAAGAGTGGAGGCAGAGATTCTTGGTAGAGGTTTTAAGATCTGAGGACGAAAAATCAACTCATTTTAATGTTTTGACAAAGGAAAAGTATTTGGCACTTATCCAACAAGTGGAAGAGGCTAAAAAAACGGAAAATAAATCACCCTTGCAACAAAGAAGATTGAAAAGATTTGATGTGGTGGAAATCGGAGGTGTAAAGAAACTTACCGCACGAAATGAAGGAAATACAAATAATATAAAGTATTATCTCACCGCTGATGAGTTATATGACGTTATTGATGCAGCTCACATAGCAGTGGGACATGGTGGTCGCGACAGAATGTTGGCTGAAACTTCTAAAAAGTTTGCGAATATCACAAAAGAAATGACATGTCTTTTTTTATCTATGTGCATGGTCTGTCAACAAAAAAAGACGAAGAAAAAGAAAGGATTAGTCTCCAAACCGATTTTGCACACCGAAATGAATAGCCGATGCCAAGTCGATCTTATTGACTTCCAGACACAACCAGATGGAAAGTTTAAATTTATATTGGTGTATCAGGACCACCTAACAAAATTTGTCCTGCTTCGTCCATTGGAAAGCAAGAGAGCAGAAGAGGTAGCCTACCATTTAAATGATATATTTTTAACTTTCGGGGCCCCATGCATTCTACAATCTGACAATGGCCGAGAATTTGTGAATCGTGTAATTTTAGAAGTGACAAGCTTATGGCCAGAGCTCAAAATCGTGCATGGAAAACCACGACATAGTCAAAGTCAGGGATCAGTCGAAAGAGCAAACCAAGATATTGAAAACATGCTGAGTGCTTGGATGAATGACAGCGAGACAACTAAATGGTCAGAAGGACTAAGGTACATACAGTTTATGAAAAATCGGGCATTTCATTCTGGAATTAAACAATCGCCTTATAAGGCCATGTTTGATGCGGAACCCAAGGTTGGCCTCTCTACTAGTTCATTACCTTCGGAACTGCTAAAGGACATTGAAGACGAAGATGATCTTCAAAAACTGATTGATGGGAAAAACATAGATGGACATGAAAATGAAGGCAGTTATGGATACGAAGATACGGATGGAGACGAAGATAAGAATGGAGACGATGAAATGGATGAAACCTCACAAAATATTTTAGAAGCACGATCAAAGGCTGCGCAGAGCCTTGAAAAACAAGCCAAAAAGATGAAATCAACCTCTCACAAGGTGCATCCACCAGCGAAAGTTGGAGATAACATCATCATACCTACTCCTGATGTAGACAGGGCTAAAGGAGATCTTCGGAACGTTATTGGAGTTGTGCTTGAAGCATCTGATGACGGATTTTATAAGATTGGGACCAAGCATGGTATCCTACAAAAATTATATTGCAGGTAATTATTCATTTTGCTACGGTTTTTATTTGATTTAAATTGAATATTTTCATTTCAGAAATGAATTTGATATCTGCACACAAAAGTTTTTATTGGAAGAAGAAGTAAACAAGAACAATGAAATTTCGTTAAGAACCGCAGCGATAAAACATTCAGTTGGAACAGGCCAAGGTTTCTTTAAGTGTAGTTGCACCAAGAAGTGTATGTCGAATCGATGTCTTTGCAAGAAAAATAACGTTCTCTGCAACTCGAAATACCATAATAGTTTGACATGTAATAACAAGTAAATAATAAAAATTACTAAACATGTTTGTAATATGTAATGGTGTTTTCTTTAATTACTAGTAAAAACGTTAATTTTGTCAAAAGACTGTATGTAGACTAGGACAAAACAGTTTTTCCTAATCATAATTAACCTATTTCAGGAAAAACCAGTTTAGGCTAGGATAAACTAGTTCATCCTATCGCTCTTCGGATAGACTGGTTTGGCCTAGGAAAAACTAGTTTATCCTAAAATCGGGTTTGTCCGGTAACATATATATGGTATTGAAAGTAATTAATGAGCTAAATAGCATATACTGAGAAAATCTCTAAAGGGGTGGTAGATGAAAAAATATAAATAAAACATCATTTTCACCACCCAAAAAATGATTCCCCAAAATGATTTATATCTCAAAAAAATACTCTATTACAGAGACAATTCATGGGCTAGGTGGCATGGTGTGAGAAAGCTTCTGAAAGGCTGGCAGATGAAAACATATGTTTATAAACTCATTTTCACCCCCAAGGAAATGATTCCCCAAAATCACTTGTACCTCAAAAAAATACTCTATTATAGAGACAGTTTAAAGGATGGGTGGCATGGTGTGAGAAAGCTTCCGAAAGGCTGGCAGATAAAAAAATATTTTTATAAAATCATTTTCACCCCCAAGGAAATTATTTCCCAAAATCAGTTGCACCTCAAAAAAATACTCTTTTATAGAGACAATTTATAGGCTAGGTGGCATGGTGTGAGAAAGCTTCTGAAAGACTGGCAGATAAAAAAATATGTTTATAAATTCATTTTCACCCCCAAGGAAATGATTCTCCAAAATCACTTGAACCTCAAAAAATACTCTATTATAGAGACAATTTAAAGGCTGGGTGGCATGGTGTGAGAAATCTTCTGAAAGGCTGGCAGATAAAAAAATATGCTAAAAGATTAATTTTCACTCCCAAGGAAATGATTCCCCAAAATCAGTTGTACCTCAAAAAAATACTCTATTATAGAGACAATTTATAGGCTGGGTAGCATGGTGCGAGAAAGCTTCTGACGCCATGTTTTCGGTTACATCCCTTATTTCTCTCTCATTCATTCGCCTTGTTTTATGGTACAACTACTCTTTGGTCCAAACATGAGAGGTTTTTCCGCCAGCAATCCCAATGCTCTTGAATCTGTATACTTTGTCTAAAAATTGAATAAACCCTTCCAAATTGACCACGACCTCGGATACTTAACTCGATCGGACAAAGAAACTGTAGATGAAAGTCTACCTAGTTGATGACTTCTTCGAATGTTGAATATGTTTATATCAATGTGTAAATTCATTATTAACATTTTCACTTTTGTAACGTTTTCCAAGGAAGTATTTAGCTGAAAATAAATGATAATATTGTTAAAGTTAAAAGATTTATCACTATATGTATTCTTAAAAAGTTACATTGTCTTATGATAATTCGATTTGAAATAGTAGTTATTTCTCTAGGTGCATAAGAATTGGCTTTTCAATGACAATTCAAGAAATTGCATGTATTGTATACAAAGCAAAAGTGTAAATATAGACAAACTTTTTGATTAATTACGAAGTCCACTTGCATTACATGAGTGACCGAAGTACAGACGATCAAAGGTTAGGATTTACCTGTAGAAGAACAGAATCTAAGAAAGTGTAAATACTGTTATGTTTTATTAGTAATTGTTTATGTATCAAAGTCCATACATCGAAGCCCACAAGGCGCCATATCCGCGGTATAGAATCAACAACTGATACCGGAAATCAATATAGGAAAAAATGAGTAAAGTAAATTGACTCAGTTGTTGGGACGCATTAATATAAATCTATTTCACATTATAGCTACAAGAACATTTTAACCGTGATTAGTGATAAGTGAAATATGAAACATGAATGATTTCAAAAACGTTATCTCATTTTCGAAATTTTTCGCAATTGCATAATTCCCCGCCAGTGGGCGTGAGAAATATAATGAATTTCTGAACTTTTTCGCATATAAAGCTCTTTTGTTCTTGGCACGGTAAGGATGCTGTATTCATCAAAATCAGCTGTGCTTTCCGATTTATGGTTTGTTTATAGGGCCAAGGGTTGCCGGACATGCGACAGATTTTTTGCGATTATAATGCTTTTTCACCAGATGGAATGTATCTTTGATCACTCTAAATCGGAAAGTAAGGTTGTTAGTAGGTCATGAAAACTATATTTTTTGGTGGCCGAGTTATGGTACGAGTATAAGAGGTTTTCAAAGTCTCGATTCCTTCCTAAAAAAGTTGAGAAAAATATATTCAACTTACGTACGCATACAAACTCAATGAGTTGTTTTTTGCTTTATACATAATGACAGTATGTGAGATTCGCTAATTCTTATATATATCACAAACAACATCATAGTTGTTGAGCCTCCATAAAATTGGAACAATTTTAATAAATAATCCTGCATCACGGTGTTTATTGCCTTAGTTAAACGTAAGTTGGAAAATACATCAATCGTGTATATGCTTCACTGATCACAGTAGCCCCTCAAAAAGCATAAGATGTTTTGTGAATTATTTGGTCCCTACTCAACGCTGAATCTCGCGATATTATTTCCAAACTTATTTATTCAATATCGTTCTCTATTGAGTTACCTTTCAAGCAAAAAAAATATTCTTGTCATCCATAAATGACCTTACCAGCTGTTAGGGGCCTAGGCACGTCGTACGCGTCCATCCCCGGCTGATGTGGTGTATGGTGTCCTTGCGGGGGTTGCGGAGAGCACCTGGGACAGCCGCCCCCGGGGGTGACGGGGACAGCTCTAGGCGGCACGTCGTACGTATCGCTAGCAGACGGTGTCGCAGCTGTGGAAGACGCTGAAGGGGGAACCGGGGAGCACCTACTAGGGGGCATATCGTACAGGTACACGTCCGCGAACTTTTTCGGGGTTACCACCTGGAAAAAAAATATCGTTGAGTTCTGTATATCCTATAATATCCAAAAAAACATAATACATATCTAATTTTCGAAATTTCTCGCGATTACAACTCTTCCTCGTCACTACGCGTGGACAGTGAATTTACCATATTTTTTCTATACAGGATTTTGAAACGTTTCATGATTTGATTACTTCCCTCTCGGATGGTCCAAGCGGGTGAAAGATACCCCTGCAGCCAAAATTATGTCAAGTTTTAATTTATAATTGCACTGTGAAGCGTTTCTTTATTTTTAGACTGAAAAGATTAAAAAGGTGAATCAATGCCAGTGAAATAATGTTTTTCATAAGATCTTGTATAAAGGCCATTCCAGACCGAAAAAGAAATGAAGATAAGACGGGCGGATGCACAAGCAACGCTTACATACCGTAGAGAAATAAAACAATTGGTGTGGTATGGCCATATGAGAAGACTATCTGAAGACAGACCACCCCAAAAACTGTGGAAATGTAAACCACAATTTAAAAGGAAAAGGAGAATACCGAAAAAGATAGCTGGAGCAATGAGAAAAAGGCTGCTAGAAAATGAACAATGCCAAAACAGAGACGTGTGGAAAACCAGATGTACACCAACCGATGTATATATTGTTCAATTAATTAATTTCTCTTATTGAGAGCATTCTGTGATTTAGTGGATAGTGAGAAAAAGCTTTCCAAGCACTGTAGTTTCCTGAATGTGTCCATTCAAGTAAATCGAGAAAATGTAATATACCTGTACGTGTCTATCGCGACTTGCAGATAGCTTATGCCATTTCAGTACTTGGATTCTGGAAAATGTTTTATTCTCAAACTGCCTACACAATCTCCGCCATATTTCCGTAGACTCGACACCCTCTTTCGCGAGAAATTTAACCACAGAGCGTTGCGCGGTCACAGTGTCAATATGTTGATCACTCATTGCGAAAACCTGCGACTTGATTCGCAACGATGTAAGCTAGCTACTGCGTCCATAAACTTTTGCGCAAAACGTTTGCAATGTGACCTACTTGTCCTGCCTGCTTATTGTCTCAAAGTTGTGGTGTCCCCAGACGTAAACGACGTCAAGTGAATGGACTCAGAACTTCTCATACTCTGCACTTCCCACGCAACGCTGTCATCAGTCCATAAAGGATTTCATCAATTTTTAGATGACGTAAAAGATGTCAAGTGAATCGAAATAATGGCGTCAATTAGGTTGACTCCGCACTTCCCATCCAACATCAATTTATAAAGGATTATGTTCGGCATTCAAAGTTAACTACGAAGATGTAGAATACATAAATTAAATGAATCAAGTCAGTCATAGAGTCCCATACAATAAGTCCATATTTTCCCTGCCTACTAAAATCTTAATCTGCACCTAAACACCCTGTATTTAGCTGTAAATGAACCTTATCAAAGTCCAGATCTCCAGAAATAACCACATGGTAATAAATGATCGCATTTGCAGCGGCAGTTAATTTGCAGTAAGTAATTTATATCAGTTAGTGAAATCATATGATTTAAGACACTTTCTCAAGACTTGAGTTATTTTAAGTAAACATACGGACGTTAAGTATGCATAAGTGGCTTGTCGGAAGTATGCAAAACATAGCCAAAGATTGCATCTCACCATACAGTAAGAACTTGGAATACAGAACATGTTCAGGTTAAACGAAAGTTTTTTTTTGGCATGATCACTATAAATTGACTTCAAAAACACAAGTAGGGTGGAATGTTTTTGAAAATAAAAAGGAAATATAAAGAAAAACAATTACCTTATAAAAATGAATGTTCTCTATCAAAGTGGAGAAAAATGGGTTTGAAGGAATGTAGAAATCATGTATTAGTAATAAATTAGCGTATGCTCAGGCAAAATGTTCATGCAGAAGTCTATGAATATGAACAGTTCTTGAACAGAAATATTTTACTTATTTTCTTTATTTATTTTTATTTACTCTTATATACAAAACAATAACGGATAGGGACCCGAGAATCAATTTCAAGATATAAAAATGCTTGAAAAATATCTTAAGGTTACCAAATTATTCTTAAGCTGAGCAAATTTCAAAAGAACAAATCTACAGTATTTTACAGGTTCATAGTTGTTACATGCTAGATGTATCGGAGAGGAAAGCGATAACAATATCTTGCGGAAATACAGGGTGATTTTTTTGCTAGTATCTTTTTGGCAACACTGTTTTTGACAGATGACGCGTGAATCGTGTCTTGTGTCATTGTCAAACTTGTTCAGTTTGGTCTATAATTTAACCATGAATCGACTTACGAACGAACAACGCTTGCAAATTATTGAATTATACTATCAAAAATCATGCTCGGTTAAGAGAGTGCATCGAGCACTGCTTCCAATTTATGGGCAATTTGGTCGGCCTACTGAGGGAGCTATTCGGAAGCTTGTGACTAAATTTCGAACCCAGTTTACATTATTAGACGTAGAGTGAGGACTGAAGAAAATATTGCGGCTGTATCCGCCAGTGTTAGTGATGACCGTGAAATGTCGACTCGCCGCCGTTCGCAGCAATTGGGCCTCTGTTACTCCACTACGTGGAAAATTATGCGACAGGATTTGGGTGTAAAACCTTATAAGATATAGCTGGTGCAAGAATTGAAGCCACACGACCTCCCACAACGTTTCCAATTTGGTGAATGGGCGCTGGCAAAGTTGGAGGAAGATCCACATTTTTGTCGAAAAATTGTGTTCAGCGACGAAGCTCATTTCTGGTTGAATGGGTACGTTAACAATAAAAATTGCCGCATCTGGAGTGAAAACCAGCCAGAAGCATTGTAAGAGCTACCAATGCATCCCGAAAAAATCACTGTTTGGTGTGGATTATAGGCCGGTGGCATCATCGGGCCGTACTTCTTCAAAGACGACAATGGCCGGAAAGTAACTGTGAATGACGAGCGCTACCGTGCGATGATAACAAACTTTTTTTGCCCAAAATGGAAGAGCTGGACTTGCCTGACATGTGGTTTCAACAAGACTGTGCCACATGCCACACCGCACACGAAACAATGGTCCTATTGAGAGGCGAGTTCGGTGAACAGTTTATCTCACGTTTGGGGCCCGTCAATTGGCCGCCTAGATCGTGTGATTTAACGCCGTTGGACTATTTCTTGTGGGGCCATATTAAGGCTAATGTCTACAGGGATAAACCAGCAATGATTGACGCACTGGAAGTCAATATTGAAGCATTTATTCGTGAGATATCGGCCGATATGTTGGAGAGAGTGTGCCAAAATTGGACCTTGCGCATGGGCCATCTAACGCGAAGCCGCGGCCAACATTTACATGAAATAATCTTTAAACATTAAATTATATCGACCGTTCTATCACTCAAATAAAGATTTAATCGTTTTTTCAAATTTTTTGTGTTTTTTTTTTGAAAATCAAATCCTATACCTCTTAAAAAATCACCCGCTATTACGAAAGATAAGCCCGTTCATCGCAAAATTGCGTCTTTAACAATAGCTGCTTTTTTGACGGCTTAGTAGTGCATAGTAGAACGTACGATTTCAACATGATAATATTTGTACGAATACGATTTTGATCACTACTGTACATACCAATTTGCTCAGCTGAAAGTAACCGACTCACATGTAGATCGTTTCTCCAATTTTCTTGGCTAATTTAATTGGCTTGATGTTTTGTGGGATCATAAGCGTCAGAATGATAAACCGCTGGTCGTGGAATATCATTTTTTTTTCGCAATACTGACAGGATCAACCAAGCCGCCTTTCGGCGAAGTTAAGTGTATTCAAAAAATTACATTAAACGAAAAAGGAAAAATGTTTTCTTTCGTAATGATGTATGTAGACAGTACGTCTAGACGTCCAAAGTTCAGTGATATAAGTTAAACTAACAAAATCCAAAATACTGAGAATGAACCGAATCGCTGCAAATTTGAGTTCAGATTTGTGTGAGTGAATGCTTCTGGGTTAACAAATCGACGTACTAAATACATATATGCCTAAAGTTGAGTATATGGCATTACTTAGTATGTACGGTTTTGGTACATGAACCGACAACAATTTTTTGGTAAGTGGGGACGCTATTTGATGACTTTTAGTGAAAACCGTTCAAATCAACTTGAATAAGAGGTATTCCTAAGCCTACCTATTTATTTTGCTTTGCAATTACTACCTTCATTATTGTCATTCATCCGTTCAAATTAAATAAAAACGTTGAAGGGTTAAACGCAATGTCCTATGCTACTGTTTTTATCTTATTTTGACCGCATAATACATTATGTCTATTTCTTTTATAATTTTAGCACTTTAGAGCGTCATAAGTCATTTTTGAGGCTGTTTGTATGAACTACTTATTTGCTATGTATAAGCATGCATTATACAGGGTGGCGCATCGAAAACGAAACAGACGCATTTACTGGCAGCTCAGTTTTTTTTGGACAAACGCTCAGACCCGTCGATTTTGTTTTCGAGAGGGACACAAGTTTGGCAAAAAATCAAGTTAACACGTGCAGCCCCCTAAAATCTTAAATGGAAAGGAGGGTCGAGTGATACCTTATTTTAAAGGTCTTTCAATTCCCTTTATAATGATGTAAAATACATGAGCTTCAGTTCAATAGTTTTAATAGGTACATCAGATTAGTTTGTACTACTTTCAGAAGAAATTTGACTAAAAGAATTTACTTAATAAGTAAATGCTTTTCTTCACTACGCCCATGGTTTGTTTATCATTTTGTTGTTGAAAATAGCTATTGGAGCGTTTTCTTGTGGCAAAAAAGTTATTTCTTGAAGAAAGATAAGGAAATATGTCGTACTTATTTTAAATAGGAATTAAGTACATAGTTTGCGATTGATTTGACCAAACTTTGTTGCTAAAATAGCTAGTAACGCTTTATTACATAAATTAACCATGGTATATTCCACAGCAGAAAGAGTTGAAATTATCAAAATATTTTTCGGAAATAATCAGTGCGCTAATAGAACAGCAGAAATATTTAATGAGCGACATGAG